ATATATATATATATATATATATATATATACATATATATATATACCTCTATAACCTGTTTATTTGCAGAGTATTTTGCCTCCTCCACTATCATATCCTCATCAACCAAAAGGGGATATCGCTTTTAAAAAGGGTTTAAAATAATCAGCAACGGAAATAGGGAACGGCTTGATAAGTCATCATGTTTTGGGGATAAAAACGAGTGAAGTTTGTATTTCTTATTTTCGATTCAAAATTTGCCACGTAATCGATCGCACACCAACAAAATTAAAAAGTGACTCATATATTAGATAATGATCATATTAGTAAAATCACAAAAAGACGTTTCATAATTTCTCTTATCAAAAACTACACCAAAATTAATATGGAACTTCTAATTCACAGTGCTTTCTCGAGTAGTGCAAAGTAATTATATCGAATTCGTCACATCATTATGAATACTATTTAAGGTGGGAATTTTTTTAATATATGTATTATGTTGTAGTCTACGTCTTCAAAATGCTTTACATTCACCCTTCATTATATATTTGTTGCTTTCTTTTAAAAGGTTTACAAGCATAAAAAATAAAAGTATACGAAAGAGGTCAAAAGGATATGATATCGAGAAAGGCATATACTGAGTGGAAAGAAAAATACCTGAAGACCTGCACATCCTTGAGACTATGAGAAAGACTATGAGAATGAAACCTAGAAAATAAAACCAGCAAATCATCTAAGCTATGGTTGTTAACCATTCCTGAGAATAACTGATTTAAAACTATATGTTGTAGAATGGAATATCTTTGTGCCTAGAACAAATCATTGTTTTTTCTGTATATACGTGAGCACTCTGTATACGTTTGATCTTGCAGTATTTTCCTGATAATGAATCATGTATATGAACCTAATTTTGATCAGAGCGATGGTTAAGAAAAATAACACCACATATAACTACATTTCCGTCTAAAGGTATGACAGACATATGTGGTAACACATTATCCATTACATATTACATATGTTCAATTTTAGAGGACCATATCCACAGATTTGTGTGCATCTCACTGTACATCCTATTACACCTTTGCTATTAACACCATTACTACAACTATTATTAGTCTATCATCTCTATTAATATTACTGATCCCTCTTGAAGATATCCAAAAACAGACTTCTATCAGTTGTTTGTTTTGTGAAATTTTATCAATTTGTAAAGATTTAAAACATATATCACAAATATTACCACGAAGTATGATCTTAATAATCAATTTAATGCTCAGAGTTTGCAAAAGGGATCGAACAATAAGTATTGCAGTTTGATATTTCACTCTAAGTCCACTATTGCTACGAATTGCACAATATAAGCAAATACCATCCAACGTTAATCTTTCACTAAAGACGGTTTTGAATTAAACGCAAGCTCTCTTTGCTTTACCTGTCATGAATATAAATGTAAAGTAACTTAACCCACCCAATTATCATATTTGCTTCGGACGATAAATCTGCGTTTTAATGAATCATCTTTTTGCCTAGTTCATGTAGTCTAAAATATACAACACTTGATTCAATTAATTTCCCATCTCCTCATTCCATGCACACTAGCCAACTGATTTCATCCAATCTCGGACTTATAAAGTAACAGATATAAACTAAAGTTAACTAATTCAATTAATGGACTGAGAAATAAATAATGTCACGAAAATCTTGCGGTCATTACCGTGCCTTGAATACCTGAAAACAACTTAATGTTGTAGGAGAGATTTCAAATGGGTGTACTTTTTTTCTCGACATATCCAAAGAAGTAATGAGAAAATTTTCGAAAGAACTGGTCAACTAGTTTCAGTGAAGTAAGTACCAGACATACTGATGAAGGCGCACTAAGCATATGCAATATAAATCCATACACATTACTCACAAAAGATCGACTGTTTTTTCTAAACATAAACAGAAAAATCTATACAGGAGAGAAAAATATGAGGAGGTATCAATACAAAATATAACGAAACTTTTGGTAAAACACTTCAGCAAATTGTGTAATAGAATGGTAATTAAAAATGGAAGTCTCATTGTAACCAAATGTTCGAGTACTACTTATGGAGAGAGAGGATTATCTCTGTGTGGAAAGTGTTTAAACAGCTTCGAAATGATAAAAGAAAGTTTTGAGAGGAACTGTGAAGTGCAAACCTGGAAGGGCTTTTCACCACTGTGAATTCGGATGTGCTCCTTGAGATGATGCTTGAATTTAAAAGCTTTCGGACATTCTGAGCACTTAAATTTCCGCAGTGCTTCATCGGAACATTGTACAGTGGCTTTGAGACGCTCACCAACGTAAACGGCGCTGGACGTCCCTGCTACGGTGGAGTCCTTCGCCGTATCCAAAACTCCAAGCATCTTCCTACTCCTTGTTATAATACTAGTGAACTAACACTTCCGTAGTTCGTCTTCTACGACCACATACCGTAGATATAATACTGTAATTAAGCTGTAATTAAGCCAAATTCACATAACGTACGAAAGTTCGAAATCGTAGCACAGAATGATCAGAGTACATGGCAAACGATCGTCTCGTTAGTGAAAAAGAAAACCATATATCTCCAGAATGACTATCCTCCAGTGCTGCAGGGACTGACGGATTCATAAACAGATCATTTAACAACGAAAATCCAAGAATGATAAGCACTGATTTGCAAAGAGATTTGACAGATTATTATTTCATTTAAAAACGCCAAAGCTGACATATTACTTATGCAACGGTCTTTTATCACTGGTTCACATCAAAATCAAATAATTCCATCCACCTGTTTTGTCCTCTACTTTCAGCGCCCGAAATATAACGGATATATACCCATCCTCTGGCTCTAATCCAACAAACCACATCATTGTAAAACACAGGAACATTGAGATTCTCCCTCAGTTTATTCGTTCCTTGCATGTTCTCAAATGTTCAAAAAAACTTTTCCTCCCAAATAATTTTCCGATTACTTTAAAAAACCATACACCGGATGTTCAATTTGCGTCAGCAGACGAATTCAGTGCTCTCTGTAATTATAATGAATCTAGCATTGAAATAACATCAAGAAATGAATACAGAGAGTAGCTTATGGGAGAGAAACTGGGAAACAAATATGAAGTAGTAAGCTGCGACGTTAATAAGAAGTATTTTCATTAGGGACGAAAGGGAAGCAGGAAGCATCTACACAAACATACACAGGTGTTCTGTTTATAATGTTTCGAAAAATTCGTCGCACAAAGGATGTAATGGATTGAGAAAACAACTGTCAAACATGATCTTATTTCAGCAGCACCTGAGAAATTGATCTGACTCCCACTCGTGTAACTATCTCTCCGTACTATCTATTAACGATACAGGTGAACAAAAGATTCACTTTCTCGCCTAGTTATTGCAACATTCATCAACTAAATGCAAAATTCAAACAACTGATTGCACACATCCAATTTATCTAAATGAACTGTAATAACCATAAGCGTCCACAGTGTTGGAAATTAAAAAAGACTGATATCCCTTCACAAATGATGATGATAAAGATGAATAATGGTGATACGATGGTAGAGATGATTAAAGTGATTTACATGACAAGAACTGAAGCAAATACTAAATAAGAATGAAGCCAGTGTAATATTTTGCAAAAGTTATTGCGAAGCTTGAAAGAAAAGGTTTTCATTATATGACCCGGGAATGCAAAAGCGTGTAAGTGAGGGAAAGCGAAAGTAATATATAGTGGAACAGCTATAGCTTTGTTTAACCGAAAGTTTACTGTGGATTAACGCCTAAGACTGGAAGAACACAGCGTGATCGTTTAAAGCGATCCGTACGAAAATAGTGAGCCGTGTGCTCACACAACATTATCCTATCCGGTAAAATCATTTTTGTTTATAGTTCCAGCAGATTCCTCTACTGGGAAATATTTTTTATAAACATATCAAATAACGATTCCAGCTATTGACTGATTCAGCTATTGAAAGACCATTTGACTGAGTGGCTCATTCACTACCATCATCATATTAATTAGTGATTAGGCTTCCCCAAAGAGTTATTTCCTGGTTATTCCGAAGAGGATCTACAAGCAGCAACGGTTATATGCCTTACAAATTCTAGACAAGCTGTTGGCGGCAGAACATCTAAATATATAACCTAATTAACGGGTATGTTTGACGTACAACAATATCGTGAAGCTTTTTCAAAAGGCTTACATACGGATGTGCATAAAACGTGACCGCATTACAATCAAGAGATAAGCTGGTAAGAGTGTGTCTAGACGGTCCTGGTATAATTTTTTGAAAACCACTACAGAACTGAAAATTTCTTAGTCCACTTTGGATAAAGACATGAATCAATATCTCACTTATTCGTATCAGGATAAGTTTTATGATGCTGAGCAAGTGGCAGCACATAACAGATAACAAGTCACAACGATTTTAACAACAATGTATCTTTAGTTGTGACCGGTTGAGCTATGCAAGAATTTGTCCCCCAATGGACAGAATAACGACAGTATATTCAGATTCTGTTTTGCTAAATAAGGAATGCAAGCTCAAAATGAGCAGAAACAGACAAATAGTGAAATAAACAGGAGTGGAAATGGTATTTATACATCAGCGGTTGAAAGCAAGTGACCGGGAGAGAACAGTAGTTCATAAGACACCGGTGCTTCAGGATAACCATACTCTTTCCCTAGACCCTAAACTTAGCAATTGAGAATGCATAGCTTGATATGGAAAAGTTATTTTATGATGGCCTTCCTTGCAGAACTGAAAAACTAAAACGTGGTGAGGTCGAACACTTACTTCAACTGGATTATGAGCGTTTAATCAAGGAAAACTCGCTAGAAAACAAAGAATACTGTTGCAGAATGTTCATCTCGTTTTTGTGATGATGTATATCAAAGCAGATCCATGATCAAATGTCCTCCTGATGCTTCCCTGAAGTTCTATAAGATCGACTGTCTTATAAAGCGTCCCCCATTGCCCTATTGCAAGTTAAGATTAAAGAGGGGAAGTGAGATTTATGATGGTGAAATGTGAAACCTGTGTAAAGAGAAAATGGGTACACACAACATAAACAGAATAGCAGCGTCGAGAACATGGACATGACGGAAATGCCCCCACTTTATAAAGCAGCAAAAAAGGATGGGAAGATGGGTGGGAGGTGATAATTTAAAGATAGGTGGAGTTGAAGGTAAGGCGCTCCAGCAGACCGAACAGGACGATTGAGACATTAAGTAATTGGATAGGAGAGATGAGGTATAGTAGCGCCAGAGACTGGCCAACCAAAATGGATTAGTTTGAACCCATCTGTCCTGCTGCCCTTCATTTCTTCCTCCTTCCTTCCCAATTGAATGCTACTGCTATGCTTCAAATCATCCTTCAGCAGCAGCAGCAGCAACAACAACAGCAGCAGCAGAAGCAGAAGCAGCAACAACAACAGCAGCAGCAGAAGCAGAAGCAGCAGCAGCAGCAGCAGCAGCAGCAGCAGCCTTATCTTCCTTCCAAAATCTTCCCTACACCTACCGCAGAAACCCTTAACAGCTTCATCGACTGGTCGATAACTACTAATTCCTTGGCCTTATAGTTCCTGTACTGGTGGTTTAGGGTGGTTCCAAATTAGGGACATCATTTTTTTTTTTTAGAAACTGCGAATCCCTTCCACTCATTCAAAGTACACTATATACTACACAATCTGCACCGCAATGAAGAATAGTCCTTACAAGTCTTAACTTCCTCCATCACAATATCCCGTGACATGTAAAGAAATCCATGGTGTAAAATCTAACTAACTCTTTTCAGTTTATGTTTGGAGCTTCAGATATGCAGAATATCGTAAAACACATGAGATTGATACTCGTAAAATGAGAATACACAATGATTCCGCTAATGTAGTGCCACCAAGCACAGCGAAGATGCAGTGTTTACATTTCCTAACGAAGTTTTTGGATTACCAGCTGATCATTTTTTCAAAAGATATTTTCAGACTGGATGATTGAACTGAAAATGAAATTTCTGGTTGAAAGACCCAATTGTTTCCATCACCTACAGATATTTCCAGGATCTTTGAAGGTGTCACATAAGATGAAGCAAATAAGGGCCGAATAGTAATGGTAACATTAGAGGTAAATCTTCGAGGTTATGGTCAGGGTAAGAAAAGATGTTTAGGCAACAATACAGGTGCTCATCTGTATAATCCCACGGTCAACAGCAGATACAAAGGGTTGTAATCGAACAAGGAAAGGAAAGAGGATAAGATATTTAGTGGCAATTAGGGAAGTGATGCTGAGGACGGGCGCATATATACATATATGTATATATACATATATATGTATATATATATATATGTATACAGAAGTTTGCTGTAACTCTAAAGGAAAATCGGAACACAAGAGGAGGACACAACTGTGGAACAGATGGTCCCTTCTCCAGGAGAAAGGAGGTAAATGAAGGTCGTGAGCTCTATTTTAGGGGTTAACAAGCTTCTTTAACGGTCACTATCAATGTGTACAACCGACAGAAGGTATCCAAATATGACCCTTACAGAAGTTCGTGCATTTTACATTACTCTTTTTTCCAGTTCCTGTTAACTATCCATTTTCTCTTTTTTCCCAAAAACTCTGTGATTGATAAAATATTTGAAACGAACGAACTTAATTGAGCATGGCAACAAATTTAAGCACTGTAGTTCCTGGATTTTAAATCCACAGGACACGAGTGTGGAAGTCATTTTGTTGAAGACATGTCCAACCTCTCAAAAACGTTATCTGCAAAAAGTCTTATCTGTTTCTTACTATTACATGACAATATCATTAACATTCGTTATCAATAACACTAGTGCAAAGCTGCATTAGGTTGTCTCGTCAGCTGTAAAAATAAACATCTAATCAAGATCAGCAATGCCAACGAATACTAATGAACAAAAAAGTGCATTGTACGGCTAACAAAATTAACTAAGATATATAAATTCACCGCCATCTGTGGGACCACATGAAAATCTGAAGGTTTAGTACAACGAAGTTCAGTTCATTGCCCTGATTTATCCTGATGATGTTCGACTCCGCCATCGCCACTGATTCTCGCACATCGTTTTACAACTTAGTGATGAACATATTTGGCCAGATATAAGGCCCTCACTACTTGGTATATCTTCAAAACAAAAAGCGAAAGCAACATACTGTCATGTAATTGACAAACTGTGAATCATGCATGATGCCTTCCAACTTCTCAATTATACGGTCTCAAATTTCGTTATTGGGGAATCACCAAACAAAATTCCGGTGAAAGTGACTAGAAAAAAAACTTCCTCACCTGCAAGAAGATAGGTAACTTATCAGCCAAACACTGAAGAAGGTAAAATACGCCAAATTTAAATATTAGTCCACTTTAATTTAAAAATATTCCTATCGCAGTGAGACATCTTCCACCGGTCTGCCAATTCGCTAATAAATGTGTTGTAATAAGAGAATTTCAAACAATGAAGTACCTGGAAAGTACGAAATTGTTTTCGAAGTTTCTCACACCAACATTCAGCTAAACAGAAATAAAAGTGCTCAGATGGCACAAATGGTGACATTTTAGGAGGACAAAGGAAACAGGCAGAATGATTAACTCGTTAACTAGCCGATCACGGATGTTGGCTCAAACTAAAACATACGTTGTCAAAAGCACCAGTCGTTTTGGCATACGGTAGTATAAGATTTACAAAAGCATAGGAAGCAGTGAAGGTGGGATTGGAAAAGGAGGCTATTGAAGAGTGCCGATTTTGCACCTGTTTATTTAAGGATTGAGAGGATGGGGCAATAGGATATTTTTCGACATACAATAATGCTTGTTTGACAGCTGCTTCATCTCCCCTCCCCCCTCCCCCACTCTTTTTCTTCCTCCTCTCATTTCCTTATTCTTCCATTATTACCACCGGATAATGAGTTACAATACCTATTCCGTTTATTGCCGACAGATTGCGAAGCATCATTACATTTACAGACAGTACTGCTGAAGGAAGAGAGCGGGTAAACCAAAATTCTTCGAAATATCTTCACTTTCATTAATTTACTGTCTACTTCTCAAAAGCCAAAGCTCTATTTTATGCTGTTTTCTAGAACTCTATCAGCAATTGTATCAGATCAAAAAAACTACAGTTCCTGTTTAATTCTGTTACCGAATGTTTGAAATTCGTAGTGTTGAGGGCCCAACTACAATCCGAATCTTTAGCACTCACTTTGTATGAAGCTGTTGGTTAAAACTTACTCAACAATTTCATGTCTTTATATTGGCTTTATTTTTGAAATATGGTTTCAGTTCAAGATTATCCATTCTATTTACGCAACTCTTCTAAAGGCTTTTATAAAATGATAGTCACTTCAGAAGTAAAAACGAGATTTACATTTTAAATTTAAATATTCTGCGCATAGGATAGGAAGTAAAGCAGGAGAGGAACAAAAAATGTTTGGAGAAACGGTGCTGCTGGTTCAAAGAGATTGATGGCAAGATCTGTATCCAAACGACGAAAATTTTTGAAATTGAAAGGTTATAAATTTGGACGCCGGGGAAACAAAATTGCGGCAGATGTTAATAGTGGTGGTCGTCCAGCTTTGTTCAAAAATATTTTGTGAGAGAAGCAAAAATGATACCTTGTTGTCTAGCTGCCCTACTACCAGAAAATCAACAGGTGGTATTTGAACCCTCACGTCAATAAATTTGATTTTTTCGTGTTTATCCACCTATGATTGATTTAAATATCAGCTGCCTGAAAATTTGCATTTTCAAAAAGAGAGTGAAAGTCGTCGTGACATAGCAGCTTACTTGTACACTTTCTCTTTATAGTATAAAAATTTATGCAGCACCAGAAATATAAAATACCTTTGCAATTTCAATGTAGGTAGTAGGTAGTAAGTTGAATTACGCGGCGGACAATATATTTTCTGGGTGGTAATACCATTCATATTTCCTACTGATTACTATGAATATAAACAAAATCTAAGCTCGATATATCAAGTACAATACAATTAAGGCGTGAAATAAGTTGTTATTCATTTCACTAATAGAAAAAGCAATCCGTTTGGGTTTTAGTTTCCTTGCTGTTCCTAGAATATTTTACGTTTATTTTATAAAAATAACTGATTTTGTTACAGGAGCAGATCACACTGCTTTCAGCAATTAATATGAAATGTAAATGGAAATATCAGTCTCATAAACTACCAGGGATATGAATGTATTTGTGCATAAATGATATCCTACTTCAGCCGTCTTCTACAGATTTACTTAGTGAACGAGCAACCGTATTTAAATCATTCTCTATTTATTTCATCCTTATGCTGTGAACCACCATTTTTTCCAAAGCAAAATTTCTATTTTACTCCAAAAATTCCTGTCTTCAGTATGCCTTCCTGCCAGCACTTTTGGGAGATTATTAAATTCCAAAAACAGTTTAGTTTATTCAAGCACCGGAAGAAATGCATAAGTTGCACTTTGCTTAATGTTGGAACACTTAACTGATCTAAATTTAAAGCAAAGCGAACAGACCAGTAAATAGCACAGAACTTTCACCTCTGATGAGAACATCCGAACATTTAATAATCATGACAAGACACACTGCAAAAAGAGACATTGAAAATGCCAAATGTTGTATTCAAGATATCATGACAATTCTTTTGTTCCAGTAATTTCGACATTAACCACATTTATTTAACAATATATTCATTAACCAGGAAACGAGAGTAAGAAACGAACTACTCAATCTACAGCAGAATATCTCCCTATGGTGGTATGTATACAGGTCACCTGAGAAAGGTTCATGTAACCGTCAAACCTACCATTTAATCCATTCCTTGGTTGGGTGCAATAATTTACGAACCTAGTCTCCGTTGAAATTTTGGTGCGCTTAATTTTACAGTAACTCGTAACACAAGAAAACATTTAAATAAGTACCACAGTGATATTAAATAAGATATTAAACAAGAAAAATTCATTAATTTGTTTAGCTTACTGCTCGCCAAATTTCACCGAATTATACGTAAACGCAACACTTCCGTATGGACAAAATGAGCAGTGAGCGCTGACTATTGTGTGCGTGCGTGTGTGTGTTGTGTGTGCACGTATGTGTGTATGTGTATATGCGTGTGTTTGTGCGCGTATGCGTGTGTGTTATGTTTGTGCAACCGGGCAGGTGCGGTCATATAAATTACCGTAGCCCTGAAACAAGAAAACGCATTCGGTATATATATATATATATATGTGGAGGGATATTGAAAGTGGGATGGCATGCCTGTGTAAAATACTGTGATGATGATGTTAATTCCAGAGAAGCGTTGGAAGTAGTCCTCCAAGTAAAATGGCTAACCACAAATATTCATATCCTTCTTTACCTAGTCTTTGACTAAAATGACTAAAATGTCGGCTTGGTGTCTGTCTACTTTCTTGAGAGATGATATACAAATAAGCGCACTGCTTGGTTGAAATCGATACTAATTTCTAAATCATATTTTGAAGTTAGAGACTTCTCAATTAACTGGAGGTGATAAGAATAAGATAGAATTTACAGGTCAAGACGACGACAACAAGAAATAGTGATAATGTGCCTTAAAGGTGCCACATCACTTCCAAAACAAGAAATGTGTCGGTTGGTGGCCAAGCAGAGGTGCAGATGAAATGCCTACAATTGCTAAACCACGCCCAGTGGCACAACAATTTTATATCATGTTATCTAATAAAGTTAGATACATTTCCAGGAATCTAAAAGCGTAATGGGAGAAACACAACCATTGGAAGGAGGAACTGAAAAGGTGAGTTGGTGGGATAAATTTCCACAAGCAAGCCAAAACCATTGTTGGAGAGAGGATGAGTCGGGAAGTTATGAATAAAGTTGGAAGAGTGTAGCCAGCATTATAGCATTATAGAGAATAGCATCGACAATAAAATGGTATGCAGAGAAATAACGTTGGAAGGCACTTCTCACTGTCCAGATCAAGTCCGATTAAGAGTCAAGGCTTAACATCTGATATCTACGGCAGTAGTTACATGAGAACAATTTAAATAAGCATGAGCAAACATAACTGACCCTAAGTGCAACGCGAAAAGACGAAGGAAAAACGCAACACAATTTCTAAAAAACACAATAAATTATTTTAATGTAGTAGGAAATATTCAAGATATTATATCCATGGTGTCGGGAAGAAGCTGTACTGTGCGAAGGTTGGGAAGCAAGACCTTTAACTGAGGCGGCGTTTATTAGACGAACGTTTAGAACATGAAGCGTGCAATGGGAAGAAAATCCCGAGGGAATATATGAAGAGATATTCAGACTTACACATACATCGGTAAGTTAGCTCAGTCACATATAAAAATAATGGTGTGGATGGGAAGGAGTTGATTGTACCTTCGGGATACATTAAATGCAGCCTGACCACTTATGCGTATGCAGTATGTTTATACGTATATGTATTAGTTTGTTTAGCAAATCCAAGAAGTACCGAAAGTTTAAAGGTTATAAACGAATTCAGAGTCCATATGTATGGGCGGTGGAATAAGAAGTCGTAACACTTGCATATTTCCCTCCAGCGCCTCATTTCATAAAGCTCTTGGTCCCGAATTCTCACCACAGCAACAAATAATCAAGAATTTTAACGCATCCCTTTCTGGTCTATGAAAACTCATGTCCCTCCATCAACATTATCATCATTCGGACGGTTTTCTACCCTCGTTCAATCTCGTATTTCACAGCTATTTGAAATTGCATTTTGGAATAATTTTTTTGGAATTTAAACCGAGCATAGATTTCAATCTATGTGCGCAAATGTGCCAGAATCATAAAAACACGTTCCAGTTATAAATGCATTGCCATCATGGAACGCTGCTACGCTAAATTTAATCGAGCCATTAACGAGGGATCTTAAATATCACCTATTAACATAGTTTTATTAACGGCGCAAATTCTCACGAAAGAATACCAATGAGAGGATAAACAAATCGTATCCTCTTTTCAGCACATTCGCGCAAGATTACATAAACTGTTACAAATACTACAAGAACTGCCGAAATTTTATGATATATTATCTTTCAACCTGTCTGAAAATTTGAAAATTTTAAAAGCTAGTTGTCTAACTCAATGTGACCAGCTACACTAGGACCAATATTATAGATGATGTAATATGCTGACTTGCTTAAAAGGGGCTACGAAATCCGCCGTGAGACTCTTTTACTCAGTCTACCAACTTCTGATTAGCTTTTAGAAACGTTTCTGATGTCGCCTCTAAATTAAGCACTGGAAACACAAGAATTCTTTTTTGTTCGAGAGAGAGCCAGAGAAGATTAGAAAGTCCCCGTTAAATAAAAGTTGAGGAATCAAAATATGCCATGACATCTTACTGCAGTAAAATTTTCCATTTTCAAAGTACTAAATACCAAGTAGCGTTTTAATGTTATGAAATCCATAAAGATTAAGAGTTTTTTTAACTGGGTGGATGAGATTAAACCAGAGATACACATCCATGGTGATTTCAAAAAAATGCCATCAAATATGATACGGACGAGTTAATACAGACATTTTAGATTAGGAATATGGACCCATTCGAAAGTCCCTCGATCTTTTACAGTACACTATAAAGAATGAATGATAACAATGATTTTCCATCGTGCGAAATGGCATGAATCAACAGTAACTACCAACTTTCAGTCTCTGTCTTCTATTATGATACTATCCCAGTTTGTTGCAAGAGTATATGCGTAATATATATGCTTGTGCCAAATTCTCCATGAATGAACTAATGAATTCGATTAGTTGAGGAATGATGGAATCGAAATATTTGATTGCAGCTCCCAACATTCAAATACTTTTTCTCTCCATTCACAATATCCTAAGCCCTAAATTAGTTCGCATCAACTAAACCAAACCATCTTCACAATCTTACTACAAAAGAAACGAAAATAGATCAACTACTGCAGTTGAAGAAAAAAAAAAACCAAAATAAACTTAAAATGCACATTCTATTATTATCAATCATCACATTTTACACTTCTGATATTTCTCAAGTTGTCGATCTTCCTACCCATTAATGTCTTTTTGTCACAAATCACTTCCACGAACAATCACTGCCTAAAACAGAGAGAAAAAAAAGATCTTCACAAATTTCTTTTTTGCATATTCATATTATTCAAAATTTGGAGATCACTGGACATTTATGGTCAAAATTTGAATACCAGTAAATAAGAATAAAGAGAATGCCCGACCATCATATCATCCAAACAGAGAACTGAAGAGCATCAACAGTCCGAAACGATTTATAGGAACTGTCAGCACTTGACTTGATTACGTGAGAGGATAAAGAGAGTTCGAAGACCTCAGGCTGATTCGAAGTAACAAAGTTTTCCCGGAAGGAAAAAAACTGATCACCGCGTAATAGTAGTGGCCATATAGTTAATTAATCAGTGGACTTCTCAGGATCACGGACCAGAGTTTGGAAGGATTGCTGAAACAGTCTTGCCTAGATGGATGATGGGATTAGCACAGATAACAGGATTGCATGCGGTAGCACAAATGAGCTGGACATATCAACAATGGACAAACGACGAGAAGCGCATTCAAGGAGCAATTTAATAGAGCTTTGGTCAGGATGCTCTCTTCCTTCCCTCCTCCTCGTCCTCATCATGCTGCCATCCCCTGGCTCTGATTAAGGTACGATTGAGGAGCACACGGATGCGGAGAATGTCATAACGCTTCCTCTTCCTCCCTCTCCCACCATCTTCAACTTCCGATCCACTCAGCCTCAGCCCATCTGGCCCCATGCAATCTTCTCACTATCACAGCAAACAATCCACCTTCCAGATGAAGGAACAGAGAAATGCACACGCATAAACAATTTTACCAAATGCGTTGCATACTGTCCACGGATGGTTACAATCCTCTTTTCTCTTCCGACCTTAAAGATGTCGTCACATCTTTCCTTGTTAAGCGGCTCAATTTCTTCTCCATTACTACTCAGCAATTTAGCACAGATTTCGAAACCTCCACACTTATTGGCACCCAAGGATTTATCCTATCTATTCAAGTTAAAGTGGTGAGATCCTGAAGATGGCATAATCCATGCAAATGTTTATCGATTCATTCAGGTTTGCTAGTGTGAGAGTGGAAGGATAGGAAAGGTTCAAATATATTGTTGCCAGCAGTTGGATGATTTATTCCGATAGTGTTGGTTGGACAACTGTAAACAAACAAATAGGGGAAGCTAAGTGTAAACAAAAAATTATTAATTGGATAGGGATGGACTACATCAGAAACTCTTTTACAGGTGCTAACTGTTTAAGTATGGGAGGGAAATTGGGAGAACAGATAAACGAAAGAAAGCAAACGGATTAGTTGCACATCTGGGCGCAATTACAGGGATAGTAAGGATGGCGATCTGAGTAAAGTGGTATGAAGTGATCACTTCCCAGGGAATTTTGGTGGTGATGGAGTAGTTTGCCTGACAGTTTTGTAAATGTGTTCCATTTCATTGTTACGATCGTGGACATGGTTCTGCTGCAATGATATATGATAGGGAAGAAAAGTGCTCACCAGTTTCCACAAATCGAACTCACACAACGGTACCTTCCTTCCCATACTTCTGAAAACAGTTGTCACGAATTACTACTACTCCTACTCCTGCTATCATCACTTCCACTATCCTGAATAGCGGGAGTGAGAATGTCGTGATAGAGTGTTTCTCTCAGGTTGAACACTGAAGGGGTAGAATGGTTTGCATGAACAGTGGTGCAGATGAAGTAGCCGTGAAAGTAAGGTGAGCAAGGAATGTAGATGGAATGCTGTGCTGTCTCCAACAAGTCTATGATGTGATGTATCTATCCATTCATTCATTCAAATTCTGAATCCCCAGTGCAGGCAAAACACACCGTGCACCTTACTGGGCATCTCACTGGCTGCAATAGGGTTGTTCCAACTACGGTGTGCTTATTTTGAATTAGAAGCCTCAGGGGCAACTTTAATGAGTCGTTGGCCAACTGAATTATACAACCATCCATCCATCACGTGCATGTACATATACATACACATACACACACAAACAGATACACACACACACATACATACATACATATGTGCGTCTCAAATCCTACCAATGCTGATGTTTGGAACTCTTCGGCTTCCGATATCACTGGATGAATGTAGGAAGATGTGGCAGACAGCATCAGCCATCACCCAATCAATACCTGTCCTTACATCAGCTCATTTTTATGGACACCTGCGGTAAATGAGCTAACATTGGGAGGACTCTTCACCAATACGCTTTGCATGCTGACTTACATGTAGATTGCTATTGCTGTTGTTGCTGCTGCTAGCTCATTAAATAGTGCTCTTTAATAGTGACGCGAGGTGACGTGTTGTGTCGTAGCGTACAACAGATAATGTCCCTTCTTACACCTCATCATCTTACTATGTACAGTATACTGACATGCTAATACATCCAGCTCTCCTGTTCTATCCGGAAACATACACACTTATGCAAATGAAAGGGATTCCTTAAAATCAATTAACAACTAATTAGTAAAGATTCGAAGTTCAAATCCTTATAACGAATCCCCGCAAACAGATCGTACCAGCAGCACAACAAGGAATAATGTTTACCGTTTGCGGCACTCATATGAAATGACGTATGCGGCAGTGCGGAAATATTGAACTTGAAGGTGGCAGTAATATCCGTTACTGATGTACATCATGTATCGCTAGTGAAACAAACCAGTGTTTGCAAAACACTAATATTTTGGAAACACTTTTCTGAGAATTTCTTAGATCATTTCTGTGTATATCAATGTAACAGTCCAAGTTCGAAGTGCTCTCTTCATTTCACTCATGAATTAAAATCCTTTCTACTCTTCACTTTCCCGATGAAATAGAAGTAATCCCTCAAAACAGCAGTCTCTCCATTTCTATCCCGACCAACCAACCAACCTCTCGTGAACGAACGATGCAAGTGCTCGCAATATTGAAAGCAACCGTTCCATTTAATATACCATTTCTATACCATTCTAACTCTCCTTAGAACTTGAACCAAAAAAAATACACTTTTGTCGTTCGTTTTTCATTATTGCTTTATATTTCCTTACTTTTCCACCTTTTCACTCTTACATTAGGCGATCCAAATATTTACTTTAAACGAGGTATAAAAATGTCACATAAAATAAACAAGCAAAAAGCGCGAACAACAGGTGAGTGGTGGCATACGGTAATCGCTAAAGGTAACTGGTTTCTAGTGGTCTGGGGTGCGTCGTCATTAACATAGTACGGTGGCTATTCCACTGGCTCTCCTTTATGTTTCCACATACTACAAAACATAAAAAACGGTCCTATTTTCTAAATTTTGAATTACTGAAACTATGACTCCTCCGCGGACAGTGACAATTTCAACCCAAACATTTCCATTACGAAAATGTGCAATTAAATTAGGCTGGAAAAGTGTTTCGGAGAATCAGATAGAATATCAACATTTATTCCACTACAAGGAAATTTGGAAATAAAAAGTACAGCGTGAAAGATGTAACAAAAGGCCACTTCTCTATTTCAGTTCCTATAAAATACACTAACTAAATGATCCTAAAATATGATTCTGAAAAAGGAAGACAATACTTATTGCTTAAGGAATAGTTGCATGACTTACTGTACAGTGGGAGATTATAAAGTATAACAAAATTTCAAAGCAAAGTGATTATTAATCCGAAATCATATGAAGAAAGCTACTGTTTGTTGAATTGGCTATTATCATTTCCATTTGCTGACCCTTCCTTATTAAATATTCAAATGAATCTATTTCATAGTCTTTGGCGCTTCATTCTATGTATCCCTAGTGCCGCATTTCGAATAGGACATACTCCGACTGTCACTTCAAATGACCCATTATACCTTTTTCTCCTTAATCCACAGTAACTAGAGGAGCAATGCTCGCCGCTCATCCTAATCCATCATAAACCTAATGCTTTCCTTCCTTCTGACCCTTCCTTGTCCCTTTTCCTAACCTCTTCGCATGCGAAATCAAGTTCAACTAAATTGAATGGAAGGTTGGATTAATCTAGCCAACAACTGCATCCGTTAAGACACACTAAATTTTTAAAGTCCATCCAGGAATTTCCTTTTGAAATATTTGAAGTTTCTGACGATAAATCAGTTACTTCGAGAGTGAAATATATCAAAATCTGGATATTTCCTCTACTTTCTCTAATTTCATAGATTGTTCTAAATTATGTGTTAGGAAATCAAGCTCAATACGATGAGTGCAAATTTGTTTGTTAATTACAACAAGATAATTACGTTTTGAGTATTACTTTTAATTTTCATGGAAGAGCATGTAAAAAAATTATGTCTGTACACATGTTTCATCTCAAGTTTAATTACTATTACATACTGAGAAAGCAGCACACCTAGTTAAGAAAAATTCGCTCAACTTTTCAACTTAATGCTGTTTTTCCCGTTGAAGCCCACTTAATCTGTCATGAAGACTGTGCGCTGATTTTTGAACAGATCCTACACCAGTTTCCGATTCCCTACAGGTGTTAAGCTATTTTAGTCTTTCTGATATTAAATTAACCATAAAAAACTGTCATAAATTGGTCTTACCGTTCAAACACTTCTTAATAAGCTAATGAGGCGAACTTAATCGAATTCATTTCGGCTAATTAACAGGATTTTATCAAGATGAAAACCAAGTGATCGAATATTTTTCGGAATTCATGAATTATTTCTTTAAAAAACAATTGGCTCAAGAGCTTAGGGACGTTGTATTATTGTGGTTGCTGCTTTTGGCATTTGAATAACAGAAGAGTTGGAAAATGAGTGTGATACACTATGTTCATTCATCGATCGCTTTATATGCCTGCTTACAATCTCAAATCATAGCAAATAATAAGTGTAAAAAACAAATGAAAGCTAAATATCCTCTTTGTGTATATTAGGCGAGACACTTCTCACGTTGGAACCACTATTCAGTCGTAGTAAAACAAATGTCGCAAGGATGGAATGATTATTGGCTCACTGTTGACCATCTTTTTTTGTTATCTATCTCACGAAAAACGAGCTATTGTGGGTCTGCGTACCTTTTACCAAAACATTTATGCTATTTAAAATTTCACATTTCTTTTAACTTAGAGGGAATAAAATTACCAGAAAAAGACTAGATAATAGTTCTTCAAAGAGTCAAAACCTAAAAAACTTTTCCAGTATGGGGTCAAATCGAATAAATATTGCATCTGCGGATTTCACTACTTCAGTGATTAATATCGAGATATAGCGGACCATTATTTAAATAATCAGAGAGAATAAAAACATCGGTTAAGATGGAAGAAGGGCGAGACGTGCAAATAGCGTGAATTTAAAAATTAAGAAAGGTTCTATAAACGGAACTGACCATTCACGTACGTCAGGTAACTTCTGATTCAGCTTACTGCTGGGTATCGATTCTTAAATAATATTGCTTTTTATAATTACACTAAAAACCATTATTGGCTCATCCATCCATTCCAGAAATAAAAATGATGTGATTGTGTTACTGATTCCTGATTTAGCTGACATGGAATTCATTTATAACAGCAAATTTAATAAAACTGGTCATGTTGACAGATGGAACTCAATTTCATATAAGTCAGGATAACACAGACCGGATATGCTGCAGTTCTTTGTCAACCGTTCCGTTGACGAGACGAATATATAACCAATTAGTCCTGCATTTTTAATGTAAGACTATTGAACACTGAACAATGAATGAAATGAAATGACGAAGAAACGGCTCACAATCAAAAACTGTTCTTCATTCATTGCCACTCTGAACTTCGCTTCTAAACAGAATAAAGTGATGAGGCTTTTTAATGATAAAGGAGTGGTTGATCGTGGTCGTCGTTCCCAAAGCCACAGTTGAATGTGGTATATGCGCCAATGGCATGAAAAGCACGGAGTCCGCCCTCAATGACACCCACAACTGAAACATAAACATCAATGAACTTGTTGACCATCCACGTAATTACCACTATTTACCACAACTTTGCACATCATTCATGTCCTTTTTTCATCACTTTCACTGTACCTATTCCAGTTTAATTCCTTTATTCAACCGTCCAGTAGACCCTACTAGTCAAGGTCGAACTTATTCACTTACATTACACATCTCCCTTCCAAATTTTTAATACTAATCATTTTACGATGGGCTCTCTATTTAGCTAACCAAAAACTGAACCACGAACACTTTCTCATTATCTTTCTTTCATAGGTAAAGTCGGTTGTATGGATTTTCCATCTTTTTTCTTTTTTTTTCACTTTGAAGGCTGATGTAAATTTAACTTCTAATAACTGAACTTTTCAAGATGCACTCATTTAGCAGTTTGCCTGTCACCTTTTTTTTCAGTCATTTTCCAACAAATGTGTTTGCTTTCGCAATGCATCTTTTTGTCTTCGCCAGTACAGTAGGCATCAGTTCGGTCAGCATCATCAATGTGGAAGGCTTGAAAATATCTCATATATTTGGAGTTTCCTCAATTTAAAGCATAGTTTAATCAGTTAAAGCGATCTTATCACAGACCATGATCAGCTTGACGAGCAAAAATGCTTTTAGTTGTGCTTTTACATGAAATCAGTTCTATTCCTTCTATTCTTATAACGTTACACAGCACTGATTATCAGAGGTTTCGTGATTAAACCAATTCTATGAAGAATGGATCAAAATTCTTCCATGGTATAGATGAACATAAAAGCAAGCATCATGAGAGTATGAAATGATGAAAAGCTACAAATATGAACAGCTAGCTCAAGTCCGCCACAATACCACACAATATATTTCATTTTGTTTGCGGCAAGAAAATGTAAGCTTTTGAGGAAATGTTATTTTTCTTAAAGTAATGAAAATTTAACAGTTTCCAAAAACAGTCGATATTTTTTGTAAATTTTACTCATATTAGAATATATTTAAAAGCTGTAGCGAAAAACTTTGTGTTACGAATTTTGCAAAGGTATATTAGATGAATAAAACTAAAAACCTTATTCTATTTTAAAGTTGCACGTACGCAAACAACAGCATCCACGCAAATCATAATCAATGCAATAGTTATGATATGTGAGATATGAGTTTGTTTTGCATATGATTTAAAATTGCAAATCCCATCACTTAATACATATTTCAGCAGTGAATGTCCGTTAGATTAAGGATTCGAAAGGCAATGAAATCGTAAACATAAAGAATTTTTATTGTCAAACTTAGCATTAAGGGACAAGTTTTTCGAAATGTTTTAAAAGATTCTAAGTTTCGAAAAAAAAGAATATACCTGATTTGTTTGTAAATTCTTGTTAACAACAGGAGTTCGTTGCCTAATCAAATGTTAGATTGATACAGTGAATGCAAAATGCTGCAAGCATCAAAATTCATTCTTAAAAAGAAAGTACCCAAAAGTTGGAAGCCTAATTTGAACAACGGTGTGTTAACGATTATGTTATTTCCTAGTGCTCATGAAAGAATGCATCCAGCGGTACTATTTCTAATGAATCATTTCTTTAGCAGTTTTTTCATTAAATTGTTGTGGTCTTTAATGGATAACTTTTTTTTTCGTAAAATCAAGCTTTTATCAGAAATCAAAAAGTCAGAGTTGGAAATAACGGCCAGATTTTCGGTTAGCCATCCAAGACATCAAAACAGAAAATCGGTCATTGAGTTCTGACTAGATTTAATTCCTTGCAAGCAGTGTTAATTAGTAATGATGTCTTCGACATTTTCTCTGTTGAAATCTTCAAGCACAAAATCAATGAGAAACGGTTAGCCTTCCTTAAAAATCTTGATGAAAATGTGACCATAAACAGTTATTCATTTTTGTTTTTTGTTTTTCTGCCTATCCTCCTAACTCACATCATCTTCCACGGAAGGTTACCTATATTTACCATCACTGACAACTCCAAGTACAAAGTTCCTTTTGCTTCGTTCCACTCATTACACTTACAAAAATTCGCTTTTTCAGTCCAATCAAATCAAGAAATGCATCTTGCAAATTGTAATTAAGTGATTACGCGGATGGAACGTCCACAGGATATGTTGTTCAGTGTAACTCATATATTGATACAATTACTCGTCCATCAAACTTTATGTATTGCAGTAACATATAAATAATATGCAAAAAAATTCAACTTCAAATTTAATTTAAAGAACAGATGTGTTGCAGAGAACCGTTGTACAAATTTTAAAATTCATACGGAATACGTCGTTTTACTGCATTTTACAGTTGGTAGCGACACAAATTAATGCATCAAATAAGAAAGATGCTCATTTGCGACTCTTCCTGTCTTATATAATAGTTTTATCGGTGGAATTAGAGGATAGGTTAGAATAGGATCCATCCCAGCTTTACTACGCTTATCTTCTCGTTCATCAAATGGTGACTCACTGCTGTTTGGGTGGTTTATCTACAGAAATAGCAGATTCATACACATAGCACATAAACTGCTTGTGGAACCGTTTGGTGAAATGTGCATATATGTGCCAAATTGGCAGGTCAGAATAAATTTAACCAAAATTGACACATTAAGAAGGAAGCAACTAACTAACCGCCTGTAGCATTAGCAGTAAGGGAAAACGTAAACTGAACATTTTCTTCGTTCGTCACAGCAGATTGATTCATGCAAATAATTGCCTTATGCTTGTTATAGTGGTAGTTGAAGAAAACTGAGAATCTATCCATACTAGCCAATTTCTTGGGCTATTTTACACCACTTAATTTATTATCTGTTTTTCTTAAAAGATATTCAGTTGCGTCTCCAAATCCCTAATATGTTATTTTTCCTCAAATGTAATATTTATTCAGCCATACCTTTCACCCTCAAAAAAAAAAAAAAGAAAAAAAAACGGATCTGAATCTAATATTATGTTAACACCAAGATATATCACTAAGCAATAGTGATACTGAATAGCTGGATTTATGAGTAGCTTAATCAAATTACCCTAATATTATGTTCGAGGGACTGTAGTCTCCACCTGGACCTATTCAACAATTCAGGAATGCAAAAACACGTGTATCAACGATCTCTACATCACCAAAATGAGTGTTGCTAATAAAAAGGTTTAACTGTCAGCTGCGCGTTGTACTTTCCATCGGCGATTTATACCAATGTTCAATCAATAATTTCAAGTGCTGAACTAGCACACCACATATTGCAACACACTGTAGAGGACGTTATCCGGCAAGATGTGAGAGCTAGGGATTTTTCAATTTAGAACTTTTAGAACTGTTAACATTTAATGCAGCTTCGCTCCAAATTAGTCCTTTTTTTCACTCTAAAATGCAAGGTAATTTATATTTTGAGTTAAATTTCAAGTTAAAGTGTAGTGCACTAAGGAATTATGAAGACTAGGAGCATTTTGGAACTTTTGAGCTGCTCAACATTCAACAATTCATTTCAACTGTTTTGGTTCCCATAATCCACTGGGAATACATTCTGAAGTATTCGAAAAGTAAAACTAAACTGATGCATTTGATGGATTGACGATTTGGTTTGTAAGTTGGCAATTGTTAGTATGCCTCTCAAGAAGAATGAATATATGCGTATGTGTCTGCGTCTGTCCGCATCTATCCTTTCTACTCATCTTCAGTGACAGATTTGAATAAGGTTCTCGGCAATTTTTGGTGCTTCGGAAATTGAAATGCAGTGCCACACTGCGAAATGATCCCAGCGGTCACATTTTGCGTCTTTGTTAGTTCGTTGATACACTCATGGGATTTACGGTCCTGAGGAGAAATCCAGAAACTGGGAAAGACAACGATGATAAGCACAACTCAACTTATTAGCCAGATATCCATCCCCATACTTCACCATATCTTTGCCATACGATCAGGGATGTCCTACAATCAATATGCGAAAAATCTGCATTCTTAGCTCACTTTTCTTAAATTCACGAACATGTGACTTATGGAAAATGATTAGTTTTGAAGAGGACAAATTGTTTGCTTATCAAAGTTTTAAATCCATTTTTAAGAAAGCAGTTTCGAAGCAACACAAATTTACAACAGATTCAGTAAAGCAATTTTTAGCACCAATCATAACTGATGCAAGCTATATTAAATCACTTAATTAATTGATTCAAATACACAAAAAGACTGGTTGTGCAAATATTTAAAGACATGCATTTATAACCGCCATACGTAATCTATTTGTAGCACAGTTGAGGAATTAAAGAACTTTGTGGGGTTCACAAATACTGTTGGGGAAAACCTAACAGTACTTGTGAATCTCGCAAAAAATCTTACTTTGCCCAGTCAGCAAACGCTACTATTCGTGCAATAAATTATTAAATGGTCACGTTGTTTATTGGTCAAAAAGAATACCGACAAATGTTATATAGCAGTCAGCTGTCTTTACGTTTAATTACATTTGGTAGTCACATCGTCTATTGAAAATTTCAGCAGTTATTCATGACCCATTGATTTCTTCAACTCCATTTAGCTTTTGTTTATCTTCATTTATTATGGTTATCGTGCACTGGCATCTTTATGGCATAGTTATTTGTCCAGCGATAACTTAGAGATCATAAGAACTGCTGCTAACCAAAAATTTAAAGTGAAAATGAATAAGTGGATCATCATCGGTATTGGAAAACTGGTGTCAAATGCAATTATAAGTATGTGCAACGCTGCAGTCTTATCCTGATTCTTCGAATTGTTAAAGTAGTTGAGAAAAGGGAGCAAGAAGAGAAGGCATGAAGAAATTATTTAATAACTATGCTGCAATCTGTACTGCAGAATCATTTCGTGTCGAAAACAAATCTTGCGTGGAACGGCAAATAAGAAGCAAAGGAAATGGAGGGGAAAGGAAAAGAGCAACGGATAATGTTTGTTGCAAAAGGCAAATAAATGAAAGGCAGAATGGTTGTAATTAAGGCCGTTCTGAGTTTGCATTGCCAGGCAGCTCCTTTCTGTTAAAGCTTGCTCTTGACTTTTGAAAGCGGAACTGATTTCGTGTGTGTAAAACGAAACACACGCATCTGGTAGTAATGTATGTTGATGGCGGTGAAGATAATTTTGGTGCGTTGATTGGCTAGTTGTTGTTGAATTTCTGAATTTGGCTATCAATTGCATCTAAACAGGCCACATTGTGAGCTCGTTTCCGGTTTACATTTTACAATTCGAAAAAATTTTTGGTCCAGAATATGGTAGTCTGCAGGGACTTCTGGGATATACACAAGCGATAGTTTAGAACATTTGTCCAGTATACTACTCAATTTAAAAAGGGATTCTAGTCTATTAATTTTAACTCATTTATTCGTATAAATTTAGGGACTTTAACTGCTACAAATCATCGCGCTTTCCTATGTTGAAAATCAGTTCAACAATCACCTATTTCTTTAAGGCTTGTTTGTCAACAGTAGGAGGGTACCCTGCGCAACATATGGCTCAAGCTTACTAAGTTTCAAAATATAAGACTAATAAATTCATATTTAATAACAATATTCCCGATCAAATAAGTCGGAAAAAAAGTGAAATCCTGTAAAGGAGTCTGCAAATCGTTTTTGATACTAATTACAGTGCTCACAAAGTATATGCGACTCAAATAATCCAGCTGAAACAACAAACAACGAGACCTCGGAATTACAGTGCTTACCGCAGAAGAAACGTCTTGTTCAATATGGGAGAGTTAAAGGTTCAAGTCCTAACTTGTTTTGCCACCTGTTAACTTATTTGTCAAGACAACTGAAATATAAATGAGTATCATAAGAAAATCTCTAATAACTTTTGTTCTTTTAAAACTTGCTAACATATTGGCATGATTCAATGTCTCCAAAAAAACCCCTCCACAGTTTGTTTGTTACTTTCTTGTTTCTTAATAAATTCCGGAAATTGAACTGCAGTAACTCACATAACAGAATAATTTACACATAATAGTTTACGTGAGGAATCAGTTTCTGAGGCTTCATGTAAACAGAGGCTCAACCATTCCGTGAAGTCTTCCAACTCCAAAAATGTTCGCAAAGCCTACTCTTGCTCAAACTTCTCGCTCCGTATTTCCCGTACCCCCATAAAAGATGGATAAGAACTTAAGGATCTATCCGGTAGACCATGACGGCAGGTTACTGTAAAAATAATCTTACCGCTTTGACAAGTTAAGGTTGATGTTCTCGGTGGAGTGATTAGGAGAAGGAGATGCTAGGACACACCCGTCGCACCCGATTATTATAGGACATGTTACTGCTCTTCAACAGAGAGTCTCTGAACTCGGTATTTCACGGTTAGCCATTGTCTTTACTACACTTGCCACCCGTATCGGTGGTGGAGCAAGTAAGTTGTGTTCAGGAGTAGTGGTTGGATGTCTCTACCTGGTTCACGTGCCGCACGTGATGCAGCAAATGTGTTGTGTTGGGGGTAGTGATCGTTACATTTTTATTGTCATATTGTTGACCTTGAGTTAATGTGTGCATGCGTTTAAAAAGTTGATTCGTTGTAAGTTCTATCAGAGCGTGGTGCAGCTAGAATTACTGAAAGGAAAATGAACGAAGATCAGACAGTGAGACAGCAAGGGCCGAAGTCCGCTGGCAGGTACTCTTATTTGTTTTCTTAATGAAGTAGCCTAAGATTTACTTCATCGGTGGTTTTTTCATTTAACTACGTCTCTCTGATGCGTAATCTGTAGGGATAAGGAATTTTTATTTTCTTGTCAATAACGCATTGGCAACTGGAACTTAGTACTACTGAATGCACTGTTATCCAGTGCTGATCTGTTCATGAAATTGATATGGATTCATGAAATCATTGGTGCTGTGGAAGACATATGAGGCATTATCACATTTAGTTATAAGTTTTATCAAGCACCGAATTGCCAAGAACCACCTTTGACGTTTTTGTTATTGTTATGATGTCATGATAGATTATATGTGAAAGCAGTATTTGCTGGCTATAAACGTTCGCAGCGAAATCAGCATGAGCATACATCACTTCTAAAACTGGACGGAGTTTACAACAAACAGGGTGCTCAGTGGTATGTTTCTCATTGCTCTCATAATGTTTTTATCTTATGACCTAAGATTACTATATTATACTTCCATCCTTCCCAACAACTGAACTTGGATATCTTATTGCAGAGCAGGAAAGGTAGTGGCTGGCTAATGCAGGCACTAAATGGAATTATTTTTTCATCGTGAATTTCCTTTATTGAATGATATGGCATAATTTTATTGCTGTAATATCGTAATTCCATCATTGTTACGTGAATTCGTGCATTTTTTCTAACCATACTTCGACTTAGTGCTTTTAGGAAGCTACGGTTGAAATCCAGCAAAAAGTTTTTGGGAGCAGGCCTAAAACATGAATTTAAATTTTGACCCGTGTCAGCAATTTTTTATGCCAGAGCAGTATTTTCAGGTATGTTGGGAAAAGAGTCTTGTATGTTTATAAAGCACATAAAAAACAAAAGTGCGTGGAAAAGTACCAAGTCGCGTACGAGCAATTTGGGGAAGAATAACTCGAGTACATGGCAATACAGGTACAGTGAGAGCAAAATTTTGCAGAAATCTCCCTCCACAGGCGATGGGCAAACGTGTGCGCGTGGTAAGGCTTAAAAAATTTTAAATAAGACGTTGTCTTTGGTCAGTGTAAGATCAGCATTATTTCACAAGCGCTTCTGTGGTTATCAGATTCAAAAAATTTCGAAATCTCAGGTTTTCATCATCATACAACCATGATTGGAAAAGTGCCTAATTATTTTGAAAACATGTTTATTCATAACTAGAAGTAAATATTTTTTAGTGCATGCATCATTTTCATTTTTTTCATTTTTTGCATTCATTCTACAGTTGTTTTTTAGATGCTGTACCCTTCAAATATTTAAAAGAAATCTGAAGAAGCATGGACGCATTTTTATTCTTGTTATTTTTTGTTCAGTTTCGGAAAAAATAAAGTTTTGATCTTTTATTCTCTGGGTAACATGTAACCGTTGCACAGACAAGTGCTATTTTGTTTTTCCTCAGATGGATTTCATTCCTTTCTTGATTGTCACCAGAAGCGTCTATGTATACTTATGTGATATAGATTTCTGTACTCTGTACTATAAGATTTGTAAAAGGTTCGATGATTGTTCATGAAAAAAATTTTCGGTGATCGTTTTGTTTGAAAACATGTTTATTCGTAGCTGGAAGTAAATATTTTTCAGTACAAGCATCATTTTCATTTTTTTTCCCACTTTTTACATTTATTCTACAGTTGTTTTTTAGATGCTATATCATTCAAATATTTGAAAGAAACCTGAAAAAAATTGTTTTGAAGAAGGCTGTTCGTCCTTTGCAAGTTGTTAATTTTTAGCGATGATATCATTTTGCATATCAGCTTGATCTCTTAGACGTAACCCGAGTTTTCAGTTTCGGTTTAGGCGAATTAGAGACGAAGTATATACTTGATAGAGTATGGCTCCGGTGCAAAGGACAGCGAGAAGTCGACCAGTCAGTTTAATCGCACATCATCATCATTCTAGTATGATGATAAGTCGTCAGCAAGTTCGTTCCTAATATTTTTTGTTAAGTTAACAGTCATATTTTGGACATAGTCTTTCAACAGTGGCGAAAAGTATGTCGCGAAATTTGATGGTGTGGTTTATCCTGGTGAAGAAATGTTCGTTTGGTATCACAAATAATTACTATGCGTTCCTACAATACATTCCAAATTATTTTACTGATGCACTTCACCGAAGTTATGTTTGGATTACGAAGATGGCATGTATTTTTGTCATTATTTGCAGTTAATGCTTGTTCAACATTATAATACCTCCGAAATCAGTTGTTGTGTCAAATACACAATTTTTGGGTTTAACGTTTTGTTTTGGATTATTGGTTTTGCGCTTCTCGCAGTTGGTGTCTGGGCTCATTTTGAGAAGAACAGTGCTTATTCTCATCTGAATAAGGCATCCAAATTTTATCTTGATCCAGCAATATTTCTTATTTTTGCTGGTAAGAAATAACTTTTCAGTGCATTATTTTAGATTTTATGTTACAATTCTACAAACTTCAATTTCTAAATCGAAATCCTTTAGGGACATAGGATACAGTCTTTTCTTTTTTTTCGTGATGATGTTGAAAAATAAGTTTGTTTTGTTTAACTAATTTGGTACGTGTTTTCGACTGCACAACTATGTACCTGAACTCATGAAATATGAAAGGAAATAACGTAAAAATCCCTGAGACATTATGCATTCGCATCACAACAACGAATAAAGTATATTTTTGGCAGCTGGAATCATCATTTCAATTATATGTTTAATTAAGTAGATTGTATGAAGATTTGAAATATTTCAGGTGGTCTCATATTCTTGATCGGTTTCAGTGGTTGTGTTGGTGCCTTAAGAGAAAATACATGTTGCTTGGCTTTGTATTCAACAATTATCGGTCTTCTTTTATTAGCTGAAATGGCTTTAGTTGTTTTGGTGTTCGCTTCTAAGGACTGGATCACTCAAGAATTTTTCATAAGATTGGATGATACGGTATGTTTGATGTAATTGTTTGTATTTACTGTACTTAATTACTGTAACATTAGCTGGCAGTGAGTTAACTAAAAGGTAACGACTGTGGGGAAGCAGATTCACAGAAGTCATTATTTTAATAGCTCTGTAATCCATTTGTTATGGGAGACGATCCTTCGAGTTCTTTATGCCTATTCTAGTCATGTCTTTTCACTATTTTAACTTGTTGAGAGTTACGTGAAAGTTCTTAGCAACAGATTTCATGCATAATGTTACATTCATTTCATCCTGATATGATCCACCACCCTTTTTACTGGAAGGAATCTAGCAATAATTTGTGAACTATGCAAAAAATTTGGATGTAATTTAATGGGTATTTATATGAGTGCTGTGCACATTACAATATATTTCCTGATGCCAGTTAGAGAATACCAAACCTTCGTTTAAGACACAAGATTATCAAAGCATGAATTTTTTCCACTAAATTTCAGGTTATAATGTACCGAGATGATCCAGATCTGCAAGCGCTTATTGACTGGGTGCAAATCTATTTCAAATGTTGTGGTATGAGGTCACCAAATGATTGGGATATGAATATATATTTCAATAAATCATCCCAGCAGTTTTCGTCCCCTGAGGCTGGTGGCGTACCGTATTCGTGTTGTAAAAAAATGCGTGGTGTGGATGATGGTCCTATTAATTTTTTTTGTGGACATGGTGCTAGACTTTTCAAAGAGGTAATTTCTCTGCTCTTTTGAATTCTTAGTTGTTCAAAACTGATCTGAAAATTTTCGCGTTTCAATTCATAATGCTGCAAAAAAGTGAACCTAAAAGTAACAGCAAACTGATTTTAAGAAACCACTGCGAGAAGTAGCTGGAAATTAGTAAAGTTTTGTAAATTTGATATATACGTTTTGATTATATGTATATGCAGGGTTTGAGTGATACGATACACAGTGAAGGATGTACACCCAAAATTGAAAATTACTTGTCACAGAATATGACTTACGTCGCGATTGCAGTGATTCTTGTTGCAGTTATTCAAGTAAGTTCTCTATGTTTTTTGGTCTTTTTCGAAGATAGGTGGATTAAATCAAGTGATTTGGTAACTGATGTAATGAACTCGTTTCGGAACACTTTTGCACTGTTTGAATAGATCTGGAGACAAGATGTTGACCTCTTTTTTTACATAAACGTTTTTTGCATAAATATTTCGAAGACCTTTGTCAGATTTTGTAATATTCATCGCTTTAGATTCTGGGTATACTCTTTGCTCAAAATCTTCGTAGCGATATCTTTGCACAGCGTGCTAGGTGGTATACCGGTAGATGAAATCAAAAGCGGATGAAACACAATATAATTGAAATGAAATGTCCAAAGTATACTAATGGTTGTGATTTGTCATAAGTTTCTAAAAAAGTGATAATGTTTGCCAATGCTTGATTTTTTATTAGTTTCTGCTACCAACACTGACCTTAACATTGAATCTTTGTTTTATTTCTTCCTAGATCTGATAGCTTTCTTTATCTTGCATTCCTTATGACTTCTATACTTGTTGATAAATTTATTCAGTCAATTCAAAAAAATTTTTTTTCAGCACCCTATCCCAAAACATCTACAATTGGGTCATTGTTGATCTTACTTATTGTGCAAAATAATTTCATGAATTCTTGGTTTTACAAAATCTTTTCTTCTTGCACCAAAGTTGTCAATAGCATCAAATTAGTTTAACATTCCATACTTGTAAAAGTGCTATGTCAAATGATTTCTTATTGTGTTTTATGGGTATTACTTTTTAGATAGCTTTTCTGTGGAGGGCTATACAAACGGTGGTTAATATCGAAGCAGAGTGGTACACATTTGAAATGCAGTCATATCTTCCAACCGAGTTTCTGTTGAATTTTGTTGTTGCGTGATATTCATTTACCATCAATTATTTCTTTTATGAACATTCACATTTTCACATTTGAAATTGGTTTTTGTTGATATCACATTTGGAATTGGTTTTTGTTGATATATTTATTATTATAGGTTATTAATCGCCGTGCTCTTCACCACAGATTCTTTCATGTATGCAAGCAGGACATCTTGTCAAATTGCTACAGATTTTCTTACTCTGTTTAACTCGTTCTGCCATGGAGAGAGAGAGAGAAAGAGAGAGAGAGAGAAAGAGAAAGAGAGATAAAATTTTGTTTTGTTTTAACGCTGGAACGCAGGCTTCCAATAAACCTGGCTGTGTTTAATGTAAGCAGATCTCAGGCATACGTCACTTAGAAGAAGCAATATTTATATCCTTGGTATCCTTAATGAAAAGATTGTCAGCTTATCATTGTAAAATAAATGGTCATAAGGGCTCGGACACTGACTATATATATGTGGCTTTGCACTGGTTTACTGGTAATCGTCGGCTTTGCTCTAATTTACTGTCTATTATGATCAACTTTTTGCGCTAGGAACAAATTAAATGGATTATAAGTAAATTAGAAGTGGTTGGCATAAGACTGCAGTTCACAGTTTTTAAGGGCAATTTTTGTAAATGACGGTTTGAGAACGTCACTGAAGAAAGACGGATCAGGAAAAACAAGGAAAAGGAAAGGAATTTGGTACTCAGAGTACGGAGCCTCGTTTGTTAGAAGTGGTTGTAGGTGACAATTTCGAAATGTGTTATTTCGTTTCAGGGATCCGTTTTTCTGTAAATCTTTGGTCATAGTGCTTCAAATTATCTTTCTTTACTGGTGTTAGTGCACCAGGATTAGAATTAATTGTATTTATAGAGCGGTTTTCCCGTTTGATTAAAATGATTAAATTGCAATTATCTCAATTTTACCATTATCTGTCTTCACTTTGAGGATTGTGAACTTTTTCAGGATTGTAGTGCGATTGCAAATTTGACGGCGACTAACTAAAGCCCTTATTTACAAGTGGCAAAAGACGTGATGAGCACTAGCTGCGCTAACGTTTATCCAACACATGATTTTTATGAAGAAAGAAAGGAAGAGCGTACTAGAAAGGTACAGTTGCTTTAATGTTCTTTGCAGATTTCTTATTTTCAAGTTAATGGAAAAATTGTATAAGTAAATTCGCAGAAGCAAGTCAAATACTGATTACTGTAAAACACTTAGGTTCTGATGCTTACCGCAGAAGAATGCGCAGAATTACCTTTCCGAAGAATTTCTGCACTTGCATTTATTGTTATTGTGCTTATATTTGGCTTACCATTATGGTGGCAAACAACTTCAACATACCGCGCACCATTTCGCACTTTTTCTTCTGATCAGCAGATCGTTTTACCAGTATGTTTTCCCAAGCTTACATCTTTTCCACTTCCTTATAAACTTTAATACCAAGTTTACTGCAAAGCTCATTTCCTCGAAAACTGTTTTGCCCAGTAAATTTGACGTATAAGTTGGTTGAAAAGTATTCTGGGAAACGTTTATATATTGTGACACCTTAATATATTGTAACAGGTATATATATCAATAGCTAGCTCACATTCATCTATGAAATCCCACATTGGTCGGGCAATTACTCTACTTTTGAATGAACTTTCTGAGCTTCCAGTAATCGATCGACTACGCCTCATATTTAAATTAAATCATGAAGATATGGTTTGTCTTGTTTTTTCGTGTTTTTTATATGGCAGTTTTTAACACATATTCGTTGCTTAAAACTTCATGAGTCCATTAAGCTGTTTTTTAGTTAAATTCATTCAGGATGCTTTGGAATTCATTTCAAGAGCTAATAAAGAGGTGAGTAATTTGTTTGGGGTGCATGTTGCTGTAATTAATGAGACAGTGTGGCCTTATTCTGGATATACAACGTATTTCGACGACCAATGGACGTTTATCTTGAACTGTGAGGATGAGTCAAAACTTGCGCAACGTATGTTTGAAGCCATAACAGATGTTCTTTTGGATACCAGCCACCTTTCAGCAATTGTAAGACGTGATCTTAGGCAAGGAATTCAGTCGTCGAAAGTTTCTGCCTTATCATCAAGACAGCAGGTTGACTTTTGTATCATAGCTTCTGTCCCTTTCAAATTCGAATTAAATTTTACATTCTACGTAGGAAGTAAATTCGCGTTGTCGTGTTTTATGATATCAACAAAGGAAATACTAGACGAGTTAGAAATGTAGCCTCCATAAAGTTCTCTTGGTGGGAATTTTAATTATTCTCTGTTCTACGTTTTCTTGTTTCATTTTTATAGAAACGTTTGATTTGGGATTCAGTCGCTTTAAGTGCTCGGTATATTGTGCAAGTGATATTTTTACACGCTGGTTATAATGAGAGCAGCGAACATTATTCGGCGGAGAATATTATTTTGCATGCACGCCGATTTGCTGCGAAACTAGCGGAAGTATCAGACTTGATTATCAGTTCAGAGCATCTCTGGGATTTTGACTTGACCGCATGGCTGAAAAAAGATGTGCAAGGAAGAAATACCATTCAGATGGATGACATATCACAAATAGTTACTGCTGTAAGAAATTTCGTTACTTTAACAAGGTCGCGAAATTATTTGCAAATCTAGAAAATCTATTCAACTTTCATAAACACGGATTTTTTTGACTTCATTAGTATTTCTCGGTATAATGTTACTGTTGCGATTTATAGATTGAGCAGGAAACCAGCACCGTTGAGTCGTCTGCTCCAGTTATGAAGTTAGTAGTCCTGGACGCACCCCAGCCGCTTGCTCTCCTTGATTACATGGTATAAATTGTCTTATTCTTGTCGCGATTCGTCTCACTAACATAGTACTGTATCTTGTCATGAAAATGACCATACTGTTCAAAGCCTTTTAACCGTCCACGTTTTCCTGCTTTCCACCCTTGCTAATATCTGAAATTGGATTCTACTGAGTTTTTGCTGAAGTGAAGACGTTCCTACGATATTTTTGTGAAAAGCAGAAAGTATTTTACAGCTTTATATAGGGAATAATCAGTACGAGTAATCTGTATAATATTGCAGTGGGGAATATTATGCCACCCAAAACAAGATGGTTTGCATTCTTCATGTTTGTTAGGTCAGGTTTTTGTGATTATCGTAGAAATTGGCCCATCAATAGTTAAAATTGGCTAATCCCTTTTATCGCAGTCTTACAGGCTATATTTTTCAGGGTGATGAGAGCAATGGTTTGGTTGTAGCTTCTTGGGGCGCTTTACTTTCCTATGCTGGCCAAAGACGTTTGGCTGTCAATCAGTCAGTAATTGCTGCTATGCGTGCTCTTTTTGGCCTTGATACAGACTTACCGGTATCATCTGACCGGTCACCATTGCCAGTGGCGAACTGGGAAATTAAGCGTATCAAATTACGCTCATTTGTCGATTGTTCGATAAATGGGATGTCGTCGGTTGCTGCAATTCATAAATTAGTCTCACAGATTGATAACATTGTCATAAACGAAGAGGTATGTTACAGATGATTGTTTTCCGGAGTCAGATGATTATAATCTTGAAAGGTTAGACAATATCTTTTGAAAGTGTTCTTCAAGCGATCTTGTGCTTTTTAGGAATAGTCAAACAATACGGTTGCTTTATTCTTCAATTTAGCCTATTCATTTTCTCGCACAGGAGCGAACCGAAAATGTTAGCTAGTTGGCCAAAATCTAATGTCATCTAATTTTTTATGCCAGTAGCAAGTAAATTACGATAAACTTTCAGATGGCGAGTAAAACCAATCTGGCGGTCGAGCTTATTTCTCAGGCTCTTTTAACAGTTGAGAAAATCGGCGATATTGATGTTGCATCGGTTACCCAAGGTCGAGCATTGGCCGAAAGTGCTCTGAATGACAAAAGTTTGCTCTCATTGTTGTACTTCCCGAATGACCAGAAATTTGCAATCTATCTGCCATTATTCTTACCCACACTGTTACCGTTGTTTGGTTCAATTTTGGCTTTAAATAGATATTGGATGGGTAAGGATTAGGCATTGTCAGAAAGCCTGGTCACCTAAATCACTCTATCGTTTTTAACTCAGTGCAAAATTCCTATTTTTAATTTGCGCGCCCACATACCCACATGCGCATTTCAGTTCTCATCATTCCTTTTTGTTTTAAAAGTGACGGAATTCTACTATGTCCTAAAATCTGCATTCGCAAGTAGGTTACCAAATGAAAAACTCGTTTGTTTTCCCACTTGTTATCATCTAATGTGAGTTTGAAAGTTGTAATAAATCTGAAACAGTGTTCATTAGCTTCTCTAAAAAAGTAGTTTGGATACACTGGGTAGTTAGTGTAAAGTTTAGGAAGGATGCAAATTTAATTTGGAAATGATCTTCCAATGGCACGAAGATTCTCGTTGTCAAGTTAGACGGGTCGTTTTGTAATGATTCTTTCTGAATTTTTCTGCTTCTTGGTAAAAAGAACAGATGGTGCTGTTCAGTATTCTACAATTAAGGTTAGTTCTCGATATGGTTTAGGAGACAGTTTTTTATAAAGGGTCTTCATTGGGATTAGTTTGGGCGGCGGTAGTGGATTCTGACATCTAGCTAAACAGATTACATGAACATGGCTTTTCGACACTTAAAAGTCTTATGATTCATTAGACCAAGCAGATAAATGCAAAATATTGGAAATCTGGTATCTATGTTTCTTTCAATGTTCCAGCAAGCTGAAAAGAGTATTGTGTTGTTTTATGAGCTGAAAAGAGCATTGTGTTAATGCTTCATTGCTAAGTCAACAGTTCCGTCCTTTCACAGGATCCATTCGTAGCACCACACGCTTTCTGTAACTACAGCTGTACTGGAGATTCTGCTGCCGTTTTCTGCCAAAATAAAATGGCCAGAAGGAAGTCTGCCCACACAATTAAGAGGAGTTGAGGTGGGGCGTCAGTAATTTCCGTAGGTCTGCAACTTTTATTTTTCTTAATAGGTCAACATATGGTTGTGTCTACTCTAAATTCCCGCTTTTAACTTAAATATTTTTTTCGCTCCTAATTTGAAGATTTCATTCGCTTAATGGAGCAATCAGGATTTTCAAAATTCCAAACTTTGTTTCATATGTCAATCCGCACATTCCGGCGTACATTCTGAGACAGGTGGTTTTTTTCTTTTTCACGAAGATAGATTAAACATTCAACACAACAGTTAACATCATAAAATGCTATCCTTAAAGGGGGATTGTTTCTTATTACCCTAACGACAGCAACCGAATGTTTTTATGGATAATTAAACTTGGTTAGCTAAATTATTTTCTTGCACTTTGATTGGGAGGAAAACAATAACTTATCGTTGGTAACCAGGTAACCATCCTGACAGTAAGACTACAGATGCGTTCATGCTCAAGGAATCAGGAATAGTTTAGTGGGGCAAGAAAGATCTTTATCCACTAACTCGAATTATTTAACACGTTCACTTCTGGCAATGATCTCTTGACCTCAGTGAACAGCCAACTAAGTAGACGCTGTACCGCGTCATTCTGCAAAAGAGTTAGATTAAGAAATATTTTCATCTTTAGTTTTTTTTGCTGCCTTTCTTCTGTAACTGTAATTGCTGTCTTCTGCTACGTCGTCCACTGGCGCTTTCCGAACCCTTTTTCTTTTAGCTGCATGATAGATAATAATCACATTTGCTTGATCCAAGCGAGTATTTGAAATTAAAGCTGAAAAAATCTATTCTCAAGGTTTTTCTTTTCTAGCCAGGTATTACAGTGTAAAACATCTATGTTTGGGACCTGACATGCATTCTTAAAATTCGTTTAGTCAGTTAACACAGTGGGAAGGAAATGATTTTTCATCTACGATTTTTCAAAACTATATTTCTGTAAAACAGCCATCCCATCAAGAGTTTTTTTAAATCACTTAGACTGGAGCCGGAGCAAATCTTATAGACTTATTTTGGACAGCAGGTTCAGCTTCCCTCCAGATGAGTCAACTAGACTTTTAACCAAGTCTTAACATGGCTTCAAAAGTTATGTTCCATTTATATTATATCCCTAAGATTCGCTTCCATTTTTAACGAAGTACTTTTTTAAAATAAGCTTTCTGAACGTTTGCAAGCTTCCTTAGAAGAAACTAATGTATCGAAAATCGTATTTAGAATATCCGAACTGCCATAGAAGCTTACTTCCCAACTGAAAAACCTGACCCCCACTTCGCAAGATAAGAAGTCCAAGCCATACGAGAACAGGATTTAACGGCAATATTCCCGGAGCCGCGTCAGCCTTCAACTCTCGTTTAGAATGCGTCGGACTTGCTGTAGGTTGAGTTAATGCGTTGGAGTGTTCTGGTTGTCACTGAAACGGTAGTGGAAATGCCGAGACGGTGGCGGTCCTTTCTGGAAGTGGTACTGAGTGCGTCAACCATCGATGTATGGCTTGCAGTCTCCGTGGAATTGAAATGTGCATATATGAGTTCGAACCAAATCATTGTCGAGTGTTGTCAATGAACATCGTTGTTGTCAGTGGAACAACTTATAGCATTCTAAACCTGTTAGATCATTCATTTGGTTATGAGACGTGTTAGAGCGATACCTTATGCAGGATTGGAGGAGCCGGAATGGTTCATCATGAGCTTTCAAGAGATCTACGTTTGACATGCAGTTGTGTTACTTCTAACATGTTTTATTTCCTTTGATGATTTCTTAGTTTATTAAAGTTTGGGAGAGGGAGCTGAAGGGTCATCCAAGAGAGACGGGAGAATGAGTCTAGATATTTGTCTTTATATGGCATTCTTGTACTGGTTACTTATAATTGCTGCAGTTTGTCATTTCGTTCCTTTTTTATTCACGATATCCAGAAGTTACGTGTCGTTTTCAAATTGTTAGAATGATTGCAAGTCGAAACAAATTATTGCAGATCTTTAGGTATTGCATCTTTGAAAAATTTTTGTAAGGTTGAAAAGAACTTATCGTTGACTGCTTCTAGTTGATGACATCGAGCATCACCTATTTTAGGGCAAGGGCAGCTCTATGGAGTATTTTAGATTTGTGAGGAACTGCAGGAAGATAGCTTGCTGAGGTTTTTGTTCTAAGCAGTTCAATCGAGGCTTTATTTTTTACAAATTCACGAATCAGGACTCCAATTTTCAATAATTTCGACAAATCAGGGGATCAAGGATGGGTAACTTGCAAAATATTTCCAATACTTTATTCTTTCGGTTAGGCAGAAAAAATCTCTCTAGCTTAGGTTGCTTGATATGTACACTTCTGACAGTGATCACTTTTCCGTAGCGATTAGTCAATTGAGTAGATGTTGTAATGGGTCATGTTACAAAGAGATAAATATTTCCAGTAGTTTTTTAGCTGCCTTACTTCTGTGCTTGTAATTGCTGTCTTCCGCTACGTCGTCCATTGTCACTTTCCGGACCTTTTTTCTTTTAGCTGTGTGATGGATAATAATCAGGAAGTTTCTGGCGAAGCACATGTGTTTGATCCAAGCGAGTATTTGAAGTTAAAGCCGAAAAAGTCCATTCTCAAGGTCTTTTTTTAATGCTGCCATCCATTATGGTGTAAAATATCTATGTTTGAAACTTAATATGCATTTTATCTACTTCATTTCTTCCTAAAATTCGTTTGTCAGTTAACAAAGTAAGATGGAAATGATTTTTCGTTTATGGCTTTTCAAAACTATATTTCATGCAAAGCAGCCGTCTGCGGAAGAGAGCAAGCGTATTGCTGAAGATCGAGCTCATTTCGATGAAATGAACATCATTGCAACACATCATCCGGCTGATAAAGATTACGGGTTTGTATTTTTTTTTTTTCAATGCTGTTTGTATTGTGTAAAACTTGGCAGATTACATGTTTAAGATCGATTTTGGAAAGGAAATAACGTTTTATCCCTTAATGTTCCGCTCTTAACATAGTCGTTTAATTCATTAAATGTACTTTAAAATTCTTTTTTAATTAAATATTGGTTGTGTCTTAACTCTTTGCTTTTATATTTTTTTTCCTCACTTTTTATTTGTCTTCTATAGAATTATCGGAATATCACATCGCCATCAAGACGAATAGTGTTAGCGGCGGGCCATATGTATCACCAAAGAAAGAGGGTGCAAAGGTTGCTGACTATTCTGAACAGTCTTGTTTGCTTCTAATCTTGTTTGCGGTGTTTAATTGACTACCATAAAAGGAAATAGCTGTGCTGGACTTTTTCATCATATCTAAACGTCACTGGGAATTATCATAATATCATTTACTAGATGTCTGTTATCAGATTTCAATTTCTCAAAAGTTCAGATTTCTTTGATAAATCCATTATGTATTATGGTTTCTTCCAAAATTTATTCTCTCTTTAATCTTGATTTACCGAATTCCTTACCAGCTGTAGTTTAATACTAGAAAATGTTATTAATTATTCGCGTATTATTATTAATTACTCGATATTACTCACATTTTTTTTATTAGTAGATTTTTAGTGTCACTTTCTAAATCAAGGCCATTGAGGATGCTCTTGATTTATCCCGGGTATTTTCCACTGCATGTTATAGGCATATGAAGATTGAGGAACCTAAGACTCCATACCATGGATATAGCGATAGCGAAGACGATGCAGACAATCATGTGGCAAAGGCACCACGTCGAGTTTCTCTGGTTGGAGCAGTTGATCCAGTGAAATTAGCTGAGAGTATTAAAGCTGGCACATCGATTTCGTCTACGTATTTCGAAAAAAGTTTAGCGGATGACGATGGCGAGATTGAGCTTACTCCTGAACAGATTGGTAGGTTTATTGCTGATAGTTCCTGACCGTTTTAACAATATGTATTTTCCCATCTTATAAAAAGGAATGTGTGCAAAACTTGAGTTCTTTATAACAGTTGCATTTGTTATGGTTAAATTCTTCATCTCACCACTCTCAGTAAAGAACACTAAAGATTACTTTGTTTAAACAATTGAATATTTCAGTTGTAATTTAAATGAGGCATTTACTTAGCATTGATTAGACCACAAACATCTAGTTTACTTCGTTAATTCATGATTCCCAAATAACAGTATCTTTAAATTTTTGCGTAGATTCCAAAAAACGTTGGCTGGAAATCAGTATTTAGACTGTATTCACGAATGGTTACTGTAAGAGAAAGATCTTCTGGCTCTATTATTTGAAGGGATATTTTGAAACGAAATGAGTGAAGGTTTTGTTCAATTTTCTTTCGTTTCCAGCCCATAAATGTGAATTTGAGAAGAAGAGAAAAATGCATTACAACGAAGGTGCCGCATTATTACGAGCAAAAGAATTGTTAGCAAAGGATGAGGAAAACATGGAATAGATTTGTTAATTGGAACCATATATTAATTCCTTGCAACAATTTCTACGAAAATGTGTTTGTGCAGTTGGCAGATGTTTTCTGACTTTGATGTTCGCAATTTGTTTATTGTTCTGATTTGAAATTTCGCTTTCAAATTTTTGATTTCTCTTCGAGTGCGTTTTAAATTTTAGGAAGCAGTAATCCAAGAAACTCGAAGGAGGTTGCAAGTAAGGAGAAATACGTAAAGAAAATTTGTTTCTTACTTTGTATTTGTTGAATTTTTCTTGTAATTCTCATTTGCTGGTCGGTCACTCTCTTGTAACCTTCAGTAAATTTGTTAACACATTTAATTTCATTTTCAGTAATATTATACTTTACGAGGATTAACTAAAAATCTAGTGCTTTTTGACCGTTTGTATCAATTTGTTAGTAATTAATATGTTCCAAATTCCGTGTGAACTTTATTGATCGACAAGTCAACTGCAGTTGAGGTCATTTTTTATTGAACATGCAATAATTATCAAGGGGAAAATTGGTTTTTGTATGTCGCCCATAATTGAAGCATGTACTATTGTATTCTTTGTTTAGATTAATTCATAGCTTCTTCAGGGTAATTGCGTTCGTTTCTTCGTGTATACAAGTATTTGGCATATACGTGGTCGAAATTCGAATATTTCAGGGCTAAAGACAGTTACTTTTTACGAAATAGTACGCTCAATATATCGATTCTTTATGTGTGTGATAAAGCATGTATGCCGTTCAGGCTATCCTTCAGGTTCTCTTCATCGCTGTGAACGTTAATTCGTATTTTCTGTATTATCTTGTGATTATAAAGACTTCCCCTCTCATTCTTACGCTTGACAGCTTGACAAATTATTAGACTTCATGCATTATCGTCTTATTGTAGTTATTTCCCTTGTAGGCCCTAGACTCGTCATTCACAAGGAAAAAAATGACTACACCATAATGACTGGTTGAGGTGAGTAATTTGTTTTTAAATTTTTGAACTGCAATAAATAAGGACAAGGACAAGTAACTAATTAACCGTCGTGAAGAGATATGTATCATGCAGTTGCTTTGCGAAATTGCATAATTACCTACCGTTTTCGTCGCATTTTATGGTTGTTGTGGACTCGTTTGTCTCATTTTTTATCCATCTGAAAAGCATTCTCATACCGAAATTTCCCAAAGACATCATATTTTATATTCTTGTGACGAAATCTGGGTCGTAGTTGCCGAAATTTAAGAAAAGTACAACCATGGTTATGGTCGTAGCATCCTATATATTCTAAATCCCATCGCAGTTTCATTTCGGAGAAACCGTTGTATTTTCCGATCAGATAAAATCCACAACATTTGGTCTCAGTTTTATTCGCGTAGTAAACCGCTGCGAGACTCAAACACCGCGTATTTTATAAAGTAAACATAGGTTGCTGATGTTGATTTTTTTCTGATGTTGATGTTGATTTTATCAAAGTTGTGATCGATGGTCCGAGTGAATAAATCTGGAAAGCAGCGGTATTTGTATTTACCCAATATTTATCCAATAATAGGTGAAGCAATAAGGTATCCGTTCTCTGCATCGATGAATTGTTACGTTTATTAGGATGGTTAACATCCTCCGAGCAAGGGATTTCACTTGTTGATAGCCACTTTCATGTATTGAATGGGCAAAAGGATTTTTAGGCGGTAGGCTCTCTTTTGATCATTTTTATGAAAGCGTCTTTCCTTTTCAGTGCCAAAAATAGATATTACTACCTTTTGCGAAATAGTTCGCTCAATATATCAGTTTTTTATAGTGTGATAAAACGTGTAAGCCGCTGTTTTCCAACATAAATTTTGCTTTCCTCAAAATCGGAACGTGGTGGATTTGGAACTAATTTTATATCTGCTGATTATACGCTGGCGGATAATTGCATTTTTCACATGTACATAGAACGACATTAATCTGATGGTATCCGGTTTTTACTTGATTCGGAACGACTGATGGCAGTGATTGAAAATGCGTCAGGTGGTATACTGATCTTTCCATATTGCACTCCTTTTAAAAAAAGTAGAATTCGTAGTTCTGTTCCTTTCCTGTACAGCAGTCACTAGCTTTTCGATTCCTTTCCTGTACAGCAGTCACTAGCTTTTTGCATGAAGTTTCATAATCAAAGGCTTTTTCGAGATCGAAAATAAACGACTACAAACATAAAACGTTCTAAAGATATATTTCAAGTCGTAAATGTTCACCAAGCAAGTCTCAGGATTTTTAAGTAAACCTACGAACAAAATATTACAGCAGCCTTAAACATATGTTATGCAAATTTGGATCCACAGGTCAAATTTCGATGAGTTGCTGACGTATACTAATTGAAATGTTTAATTGAAAACACAGATTTCGGTAGTAGCTCACTTTTCTGGAGTACACAGAGCTCCCGAGAAGCTATGAAATGAATCAAACCTTAGTTTCTGAACAACTTCAGGGAAATACTTATATTTCTGCAACAAAAAGGATATAGAGAAGAAATTACTGTCTGGATTTAAGATTTTCGGAATTCGTCCCGAATATTTATAGTGAATTGTAATTTTGTAAAAAATCACGCTGTTCGATCGCTCTCAGTTTGTCAAGTGAATGTGGAAGGAAATTTACTTTAAAATAAGACTAAAAACAGCTGGGTTAAGACAATACAAGTTTATAACTGCAATAGTTAGCCTCTAGAAAACTCCAAAATACACATTTAGTTAACTGAATATAGCACACACCTGTCTGTACAATCGCGCTAAGAACCTATTAGGATTTTGAAAAGTCCCGCCTCTACAACATAGGGATCCAATTCTTCCACAGTAGACAAAATATGTCAAGTAATTTTTACAATTTCTACAATCGAGAGTGAACAGTTGTAGTAACTAGATATTGTTTTCGGCCATGCTCAATAATGGATCCAATCACCGATTTGAACTAAGAAAATAAGGTAGTGCTATTATAAATTCAAAGCGACCACCAGTTAATGAGAGGACAAATTTTTATGGAACAAAAAATTGAACAGCTTGAAGATCATCAAAAGAAATGAACTCAGCAATAAATGGTACAAAAATTTCTCAGTTTAGATGAAAACCCTTCTCATTAGTTGCTGTTAGAAAACGTTCACGCATAATCTCCGTAGAACTGTAATCGGGCAATTTTAAGTAGTGAACACAAGTATTCACAGATGGATAACTACCATCGCCGCTATCAACTTTCCGAACAATTGTCAAACGTGGATGCAAATTTGCCAAACCACCTGTAAATATTGAGTAATGAACATGCAAAATATGAGTGAAATAAAACCTAAAAAGAAAATTACGACCTCAAAGTTATAGTTTATCATTATCAAAAAAAAAGAAAAAAAGGAAAAAAGGAGAAAGAAAAGAAACCGAATGTAAAGAAAGAAATGAAATTCAATCACAAATACACACATAATGCTTTCATGTTATACACTACGAACCTGGTGGCAGTGAAGAACAGCCCGTTGTAAACTGCAAAAAGGATTTGCGTTCATTAGCACTCATCCCTACTAGAACATCAACAAAACGTAAAAAGCCAGGCGATTCCTTAGTATAACCCAGTTTTGGCTCAGTGAAACTGATAATATCTTCACGAGTCCATTCTGGACACTGATCACCAGATAGCAAGGTCTGCAAATCAGCCAGTTTCTTATGTTTAAAACCCCAAAGAAATGCGACCACTTTCTTCAACTTCGATTCCATTTCAAAAAAGAAAAAAATGCGGTGATTGTAATTATAACTTTAAGGAAAACACTGCCAGAGCATTCATGTAAAAGTAAAGAATCCTAAGTTTAAACCTGCCTGTAATTCTCTTGGAACAAACATTCTTAAATTTCGCAAAGGAAAAACAAGATCAAAGCCTTCGCGGAATGCTTTCAACTGAAAACTGATCAGAACTGAACATATATATTGGCAAATGCATACCAGCATTACCACTGTATCAATATGAATGCAGCAAAAATGTAGAGCATACAGAAATTAATAGAAAAGATTGCTAATTCAACTAATTTTGAAGTTAGTAATCAGTTAGGTAATCAATCTACAACTGCTGAATGAAAATGCCTTCAAAACAGTGGTAAGTGAGCTATCCCCTCTCAAGAGCGACGAAAATTTATACCTGATTAAGAATACCAGATATGAGATAAAAATTTGTGCATGCAGCAATATAAAGTTCAACATTATTGGCAGTGACATCGATATTCGCACCATTTTCAATCAGTTCCATTTGCTTATAACTGAATACGGTTGACGATGGATTTACACTGAAACATTTCAGCGTTCAGAACAAGAACAGAATATATGTTTATCTCGATAGAAGGAAATTTAATCTCAATTATACGAAATTCAAAATTCTCATAGGAGTGTACTCACCAAAAAGTTAATGACAAGTCCTCAACTGCACATTCTGAACCATTAATATTTAATTTAAGTTGCTGGATTTGTCGTCGTCGGGTGTTTGGATCAAATCTATGATCAGCTTCAATAGAACGCTTCTGCACAACATATGCAGTTAGCTCTTTTAATAAACGACCTGAATAATCTCTTCTTTAATATTGCGAACTGAAATGACCAAACACCTGCAGAAACCAACGACCTTCGTCCAATCATAACTGGATAAAAGGCCGCTTAACAATATGCAAATCCTTTACTTATGATTATTGTTTAAATTTATGGATAGAGTCAAAATTCCTCGCAATCAAGATCAGGTTCACTTATTCAAAAAACAAAAATACTGCAGAATTGCTGCACAGCCGGAGTTCATGCTGAAGAGTACCAGCTATCTCATCAGTACAAAGCATGATTCACAACTATACAAAGAAGCAGTGGACTATGAAAAATTCATGAACTTGCAACTGAAGTTGAACCGACCTCTGACTGGAGATACTTCTTCCAAATCATCCAAATTAAGTACACCATTTAGATCAGGTGTCTCTTTTTCAGTTAACTAAATAAAATTACAACATGTAATCTACATCACATATAAATTAAATCCTCTATACGAATATCCAACAAACCCTTGCACCAAAATCTCGAAATACAAAAGCAATTATGAAAATTTCTGAATGCCACTGTAATTTCATCTTGCTCAAATGAACATAACGAGTACCTGTGAGTTGGTAATCATTTTTAAAAATGGTTGTGAAAGAGGTATATCCACCAGACGACCATCCTGTAGTACTTTAGCTAGGAAAATACCGAAAATCCGAAATAATTTAGAAACACGTAAGTTTTCTGTCGATGATACTGGTAATGCAGCCGGAAAAAGTCCTCCCGCGCGACGAACATAGTATCTAGGCATTAATACATAACATACTTTTGCGCAGTTATTTTTGCCCAAATTAAAAAAAGAAAAACTCCGCAACAGGTAACAGTAAAAAAAATTATGATAAATACGTCAGCAATAATAAAAATAAGACCAGTTAAAACAGTTACCCCGGTGGTTTCATGCCCTCGCCAAGATCTAACTCTTCCGTCTGATCAGTGTCCATATCATCACAGATCCACATTGCCAAATCTTTGCGTTGAAATTCGGCAGCCATCTAAATTATGCAAACTGATTTTCCGGAATAAAAAACATAAGGAAAACCACCATTTAAAAGAAACATAAAAAAAGGTCATAGTACAAACCAAAGCATAAAACTCTAGTGTGGGTCCAAGCCCGGTTCCTTCTTCATCAATATATTCAACTTCCAACACTGCTTTCCTAGAGGCATGAAACTCCAACAGTCGAACTGCATATTCGAATAACTGATCATCGTTACGAGGCACCTAGAATTAAGTGTTTTGCAGCTAAAAGTAAAACAATAAACAGTAGAGTTGTCACTAAAAAAATGTATCATAAAAAATGAATTTTTACAGATACATCAGAAATTGTCAGAAATGGATGCCAGAAATATTGTTTCTATAATTTCCAAAATCAGTTACTTATACAGACCGGCTTTTTTTGAAAAAGTACCTTAATACGTTCATGTTTGATTCGTCCAATGCGGAACTCTGGATAACTATCATCTCTACGAGTTCCAGCAAGATTCGATGCTGCTGCAGCACTTGTCGTGCCACGAGATTGTTCGAGCAACTGTTAATCATACATTAAAAATGAAAAATTAAGTGGTAAAATGGTCGCTAAAAAAAATTCTAAATAAAATGATTAGTGTTTTGGTGTTTGCTAACTGATCAAATACACAGCTGCAACTAAGAACACCAAGACACCGTAGATTGGAGGGTTAATTTTAAGTACCAATCAAGATAATAAATTCTGCACCTGATCCTGACGAGTTTGTAGCCACACAATCGAACGTGAAGTGCCAAATGCAGTAGCACGAAAGTAATTATTCCTATAAGAAAAATGAAGTGGGATAATGACGACTGTTCACTGGATCATAATAAAATAATATTTTTATAGCCTACTCCTCCTGCATTTTTGGACCTCGGACTCAGTTTTCCAGTTCACAGTGCCTTGTCCATCACTGTAGGAAGAAAGACTTGACATTAAAAAAAGGTATACTTTGTGGAAAAAATAAAATAAAATCTAAGTCTTCGAAACATACAACATCGCATTGTCATAGATTTAATCTTTTAATCAGAACTGGCCAACAACGGTAGCAGAATGATACCAATCTGCGTTAAGCGCAACAGTAATTCCATACGATGTTCAAGGCAGAACTAACCTTGTTTCGACACTAAATAAACATGGATATTTGAAAACGAGTTCATCACACCAAGAAGGTAAAGCTCTTGCAGAAACAATTAACGGATCTGCCAACTCTTGCATCAGCTTTTGAGTCAATTTTTCACTAACAAAAATATCTGTCGTCATTTCATATTTCATTACACTTGCACCAATTTGATATAAGTTTGAAAGAACAACCAACGTCTGAAATTCATCCTTGGAACTTGCTCAATTAGCATGGAGTTCAACCTTTCAATGACGACTCATCCTCTCGCTATCTCGATTTAGTAATGCTAATAGCAAACAAGATGAGAGATCTAACACAACACATTCGGTCAATCTTCACCAGATATTATTATTCCAATCAGAAAAAAAGGAAAGAAAAAGAAAAATGATGACAAACAAAGGTTAACCTATAATTTAGCAGTTACCAAAATTCATAACCAAAAAGCTTAACATATTAAAACGGCTAAACTCACATTAGCAACATTTTCTGGGATACCATTCATTTCTGCAACTGTTATATTAACCGTTTGAGGAAGTTCATTATTATCACATGCATCCCCATAAATCAAGGTATACGTCGGCTCCCAAACACGCCTCGTTCTTTCATTTTTCTGCAGTGTTATTTAGAAACCAAAACACTAACATACGAATTTAAACACAACAGTGAATTATCAAGTATTTTTAACAGTACAGTCCTAGAGAATCGAATGTGTGCATTACACAGCAAATACAGTGTTCTGAATTTCATGCATGTCGCATTTACAAATCACGTATATCGCTACTTTTTTAACAGTGCGGTGCGTATATTGCTATAACATGGCCATTATCAGTGCATAGTAAAAGGACACCAAAAAGTATTATTTTCTTTTACAGTTTTACCTGTCCCCACTCAACGCTTTGAACAAGCTGCTGGAGGTAGAAAAATATGGATCTATCATCATCATCCAGTTCGACAGTAACATTATTAATATTTGCTAAATTGGGTCCTTGAAGATAGAGACGCAACTCTGGTTCCTGAAAAACAACATTGGACATGAAAGTAATTGCGCACAAATTTAATTCTCCAAATCGCACTTCTTCCGGATGTAGCACTGAACACGCAGAAGGAAATGCCACACCACTTTGAGATTCATTGATATCCTTTGGCAGTTCGACATCCTGGGTCTGCAATAATGGTTACATTGATAACTGCCCCACAGTGATGGTTGATAATAAAGCAAACCTTAAGATGTTTAATAAATGAATTATATAAAAAAAAAAACAACCAGTAACTATAGCTTTAATGCATTGCAAGTCGCGAAATGTAACAATAAATGCAAGATACCTGATTGACATTGGTTCTGCCTGGACGAGGATCGAAAGCAGGAATTAAAGCGGGTAATTGGTGCTTCAAAACGAACTCATCATCCCAATTCCGACTCAGACTTCCTCCATTTTGTTTATTGTCACCTGGTGAGGTTGATACTCGCAAACCACGATCACTTATCAATCTTCCAGCCTCGCCTATTACAATCTTCAAACAAAAAATAAAACAGTAACCACAATGAGTTCACCAACACAAAGATTGAGAAATAAATTTCACCTCAGATCTCATTTCGAAATGTGTTCCATACTGACATTTAAGTACATCCAACCAGTCACGAAAAAGACTATTGTTAGCAAAGCGACTGAATACAAAAAAAAAATTTTTTTTGCCTGCTTCCAATTAAGCTTCAGCTCTCCACTGGATCCAGTGCTTCCTCCACCAGATTGTTTACGAAGAGCAACTGCTGCTTGCGCCAGCGCCTCCACTGATAAACCACTTGCATATTCCTCATCATACTCATCTTCATTACCTTCATCTTGCATTTCATCGTCATATATGTCATCCTAAAGTGGATGCGAACAACTAAAGTGGATGTAAAATGATCTAAACTGTTACGCAAAAGTGGGTATGAAATCTCCATGGCAATAAATTATAACTATTCTTAGTTTCAACCATTAAAAAAGTATATTTTTTGCTTCACTGTGATAGATTCAACAGACACCCTCTCTTCTTATCTAGTCTACTACATTGAATACAAAAAAACACTCCCCAATATCAGAAGCGCAAAATTTTTATTGAACTGTGATGTTAAACTATAAACGATTAATAGTGAAACAGGTGAAATAATGCATTCAGTGCAGACCTCAATTTCTTCTAACTCGAGACCATTCAGCGAACCACCAGAATCAATGATCTGCTGCATGACAACAGTGCGTAACACATCTGCGTAACTACCTAAACGCGAACGGAAACCGCCTCCATTGCTTTGTATATTGCGTCGTGAGCCTAAAATGCAGATATTTGTCATGAATCGGAAAAAACTTTTTAATACCACGATCAGTTACAATTTCTTCCACAAATAATTTCGGACACAGGTCTACTCATACTTTACAAACATATAACGCTACCTTGTCATGAAAAAAAAAGCCAAATATAATAAAATATCGAAACAAAAAGAACATAGCAAACATGTTGAAAACCAAAAAAAGAAAAGTTGATGAGCCCAGAAAGGGAAAATGTTGAAAAATAACTTTAAAAAGGATTAAAACACATACACGCAGCAGACTGCGTCACAGAAGCTGATCGGAAATCCGTTTCAAACGAAGGCTTACCAGATGCCTTTTGGGAACCATCTGGCTGATTTGATCCAACTGCTTCTATCGAAGCATCAACCTTATCGAAAACATCGCCTAAATATTTAAATTAACTACTAATAAACACGAGAGGCTGTAAAACTCGAAAATTTTTGAGATACTTGTTGCATTTTTTTCAAACACTCATGAATACTCGATCAATACATTTCACAACAAAGTTAACAATTATGAATGTTCGGCCTATACATTTCATGAGAAATTTACTGAAAGCTACCTGAACGTCAAATAAATTTTAAAAAACACAGCGAAATAAAGACCTGAAAACTGCGTTCGTGAACAAGAACTTAAGGACGCTTTGCCATCAGTTGAGTAAAAAACTGTGCTACCAGCAGTAGATACTTCACCTTTCGCTGCTTCACGATGACCATTATTTTCTACACCTGTAATTCACAGATAACAAACCGTAGAAACAAAATAGTGATCCGAAAAAGGATACAGTAAATCCATATCTTGTTTTCCTTTGCCTGCAGGCAATGAATTACGTAACAGGCTAATTCGTCACTCCCATACATTTCACATTACATTTCATATAATCTCAGTAATCTTATAAGAACCTAAACCACAAAGAAAAAGAAAAAAAAGGAAAAATGCTAATATGCATAATACGCAAAACAGAAGTTCTATTTGATGTATATAACTAATACTTGTGATTCTCCGTCCAGCATTAAATGACTTCAACATCATGGGTACCAAAGAGATTTTTATAGGCTCCAGGGGAAATGTATTTCCTTGCATCCCTAAGAAACCTCCTTCTCTTTGTTTCCAGCCGTCTCCTAGTCTGCTTTCATTCGATTCACCATCTATAACATGAATGAAGACAAAATAAAGACGGTTTTTCGAAATATTATGGTTGAGTAACTTGTTATCTATTTTTCAAATTAATTCCTACAAAAGCTATACTCCTATTTTACCTTTAAAAAAACACCAGTGCTAGCCAAATCGACTTCGAAAAATAATTACCGGTAACTGGTATTATAGCATCAATGCGATCACTGACTTCACTACCCATATCGGCATTTTTGCGAATGACTTCATGAGTCAGTACTCCAGAAGATTCGTCCGTTATTGATGTATGCTCTTCATTGACTAAGTATCGCTGAGTAGAATCGCGTATCACTATAATTTTTCTTTTCATATACGCCGATTTAACACTTCCCTTTAAGAGATAGAAGAGTTTTTCAAGCACTTTTATCCACTGGATGGCTGAATCAAAATCTGACCATTCTCTCACATACAACAAGATAAAGAAATTTAAACTGTAAGCTGAAGATCTCATTCATTGTGCTTGCAATCAGCAGTATGACATAAAATGAGAACGCACAAATATTTGCTACATGTTCGATTTGTTTCGCATCATCTTTCAAGTTCCAAGCATAAAAACATTATCCAACAGTCAAGATTGACCACATGAAAAGTAGCTGAAGTAAATGGGAATGTGTCCTTTAGAAAGCCTACCATTATCATCATCATTTATCAGGATTGAACCACTTCCTGCAAGTGCAAATCGACGTAGACTGCGAAGTCGCGACGGATCGTTGGCCAAATCATGCAAGATATTCCGCACCAAATCATCATCACCGGGCATGAACACTTGGTCAGTGTTTGCCACTGTTCCCGACTGTTGAAGCTGTCGTAAAATAACCAAATTTGGAGCGCTGACACTCAAACTACATAAATAGTGATATTAGGACGAACGTTGGACATAATATTGGGAATGAAGTTTCAATTCACGATGCATTCTTTCATTATAAATCGGTTTCAAAGAAACAAGGGCACTTGGCATAAGCTCCCATTAAAACTACAACACAATGGAGTTGCATTTCTATTGTGTATTTGTCTTTATTTGCGTAAGACGAGCATGGTAAAACAAGGAAAACTAACTTACTTGGCTAAATTTCGCGCATTCGCCTCCCCCAACGATATTGTATTACTGTTGCTTACTGGAGCTAAATCATTTTGTATAGTGGATTTAACCGAATCTTGAGGATATGAACATGTATCACGTTGCTTGATTATTCGCGCTTCTCCAGAACTATCACAATGCTGATCAAGTAACACAGGCTGTGAACCGCCAACATATGTGCTTTAAATCTTTAATTTAACGAACGGCAAAGAAAGTATCACTTTGAAAATATGATTAAAAATAGGCTACAGTTAAAATTGTTCTCATTCGAATTTTTTTAGAGTCGATCTTTCAAATGATACCTCGTTTTCATAGGGATATTTACATCATGTGTTTGCTCAATAATTGCGATTGCATCAGAACTTTCAAAGCTGTTATCTAAGCCAGCGTAATTATTTGTAGAAACACCTTCTTGATCAGTATCGACGGCTGTTAAACAACCTGAAGTTATGAGGGGACGTAAAGTTTTATAAGTCGACTAATAAAGAAAATCTACGTTTATCGACGAACGACGAAGAAGAAATCTGAAAATAAGTCGTAATTATGATGCTACGGAGAACATAAATATTTAAGAGAGGAGAACATAAACATAAACATTTAAAAGTCGCCCTTGGAAAGTGAGCCATTAAGCAACTAACCGGAAATACACCGGTAACATAAATCTTTTAAATATTTCTGAATCTTACATTGATTTACTTGATTCTCATCATAGCATCAGCAAGTGATGCATTCCTGATTCTTAAAACCAGTATTTGCTATATGTTTAAAGGATAGAGGAGAAAATAGGGAGGAAGAACTAAGCCTAACATTGAATTTTAAGGATAAGGAAGGATGAAAAGAAGTGCCCGCTATAGGTTGCAGATCCATTGCAAATAAAGTATACAGAAAATTCAGGCTTTATTTTGTTAGCAGAAGGAATGAACAAAAGTAAAAAAATACAAAAAGATACATAAGTAAGGAACAAGTAGTTATTCCAAAAATACATGGAGAAGTGAGTGTTACCGTTTGAAAAAGAAGAAATTCCTACCAGTTGTACGCTGATTCTCAACTGCAGGCATATCATCTGAAACAACTTCTGGGATACGATCATCGAATATTTTTGAACGTGCCAATAAATTCTCTAAAGATGGTGTCTGATGCTGTAAAGATTCCGCACTCGCCGCCTGATTCGTTGATGCTACTGATGCTCGCTTCATTGCCTCAGATCCCTGAAACTGTAGCATGAAAATTTTTCAGTGATATAAGTTCAGCGTATTCGTTCACAAAATATATTAACATTTTCAAACATCATCAAAAAGAAAAGTCACATTTCGAAATATTATAGTATGACAGTCCATCAAAGAGTCAGTAATATTTACGTTTCGACACAAAAAAAAAAAAAAGAAAAAGAAAAAAGATCTAAAGAGTGTTATTTAACTGAGAAACCACTTCTACACAAATTAAACAAACCAAACTTTTACATCAAACAAATTCGTAGTTGACATTGATTTTTGTGCAATAGCTGAAGAAAGCTGATTTGTAGTAATAACCTTCGCATCAGGATTGTCTGTAAATATACCAACATTACATTATTGGACAAATACTTCGCAAAAAACATTATTCGAAGACATAACTGAAAATGATTTTTGTCAAAATGCATCTCGATAATAATCAAAGCGTTTTTTTTACTGACTATTTCAACCTACTTTCGCCTTCTGCATTAATTTTTGATTTCTGTGAATTAGAGGAGTCCAAACCATTAGGGCAATCTTTTGTACGATGCTCTTGCGAACCACAATGAAGACAAGAATCGGACATGTTCCGATCAAAACCTTAAAATAAACTTATGGCAATGACAACTCCGAACATCTTACGTTCCGTTTCACAACATGAATCGGAAAGTGAAAAAGTTGCTCTTCGAAAAGTCTTTATGGAATCGTATATGCTAAATAGTTTCATAATTGTCGAAAGCAGTTGCATATAGATGAGCCCAGAGCTTAAAAAATCTTAACAGCTAATACGATAAACAGAAAAATAAAACAAATCACCCATTTCAGTATTGTTATTGACACTTTGATGATATCGGGAAAAAGGTGCACCGCCAGGCTTTGCTTTTCGTAATGTTCCTGTGGAACTATAATCCATAAATCCGCGCGGGACTGGAGGAAGCTGTCTTCTGGAAATTCAGTAAAAAAAATTCTTGCAAAGCACGAGTTACAAAACTTATGAATGTAATGAATTTAATTTTGAGTTTAACTTCATTGGCATGAGAAGTATTAAAACAGGAATTTCCTTACGCGAATCCAGGAGGGACTTGACCACTACTGGTGGGAGATAATGCAGCTGCAGCATGTCGTGTACCAACTGTTCGAAAGCCTCGACGTAAACTCTAAAACTTTTTCTGTGGAAGATGTAGCTAAGCAGCTAAATAAAATGCGTTCCATAAAAATATCATAAAGAGCGAAATTTACCGGTGTCCATTCAACAGACTTCAGTTCAACATCATATTTTCCGTCGGCGCCAAAACGGTAAGAATTTGATGTGCAATCATCCCACTGAACATCAACCCAACCTAAATGTTGTAATTCACTCTTCGTTCTAAAAATGATTAGCTAAGGTTAAAACAGAAACTTACCATTATCAATGAGGGATACGACTGTCCCTTCCAAATTACTCCCTTGATCATTCCATTTCCAATCTGGGCCTCGAACTACACGACTGCCTACCGGACACGCCACTGCATCAGGTGCGTTAGCTATACGGACTCCACGTCCTGCTATATTTGCTGCCAGTAAACGTGAACCACGCCGATAGCGAAATGTCCTAGAACTTCGACAAGCATATTTTAAAGCAAAGGGAAAGCAGTTTTACTGAATGGAATTGAAACGACAACTTAAGTGCTACCATCCAAAATCATTTAAAAATAATAAAGAAACATTTCAATAATTTACAAAATGATTCTGTTGGAAACATAAAGTAATGCGACACAGATATCCTTTCAAAAATTCCGAATACAGGAAGCTACTTTAAGATGCAATCTATCAAACCTGTTCTTCATCGTGTTTGTAGCGCTCAGGATTACATCAGATCCAATGATACCACTTACAACCTTATTATTAGTTTGGCCGCCAGGCAAATGTGCTACACTCGCATCACTAAGTGAGGCCGGCAAACGTACGTCAGTATTGGTTGAAGCGAATGCTGCTTTACTAGTAATGCTTTCCTTCACTGATATTTCCTTAGTACTAGTGATACATTTCTTCGATCGCTTGGTGCTTATGCTTGGCTTTTCCTCCAGCATTTTAAAATCATCTACCTGAAGAAAATATTTCTCCAGTCATACAAACGAACATATGAAGAGCGACCACACATTCTTTGTAAATGCATCATGCTCCCTCATCCGCAAAACTTTGAAGCACCTTAATAATAATTGTCTTTTTTATGATTAACCGTTAACTGCAAGGAGTGGTAGTAGCAAACCTGCACCTTCGTCATAGATAGCAGAGCAAAAAAATCATTTCAAAGCTTAAACACTTACCACGACATCAACGACATCACCATATATTTCAAAACCCGATAGCGACAAATAATGATTCTGATTACTAGCATTCTTGCCATTTTGTGCAATGCGAATATATCGATAGGGACCTAACATAACAGCTTACAACTTTTACTTATGTTGCAATACACATGAATTTCAATACTTCGTAAACGCAATAGAAATATCGAAACGACAAACAATTAAGCCTTTATATTATACATAAATACACCTTTCCCTTCTAAGCAAACAATTGGCCATGTTGCTGTGGAACCTGGATAATTCAAAGAGGCATCGTTTTCATGCACGACAAGTATATCCCATATTCGACCGTTATGAGAACCCTATAAAAATAAATGTACAATGCATAAAAGTACAATCAAAATTTCTTTTAAATTTATATGTTTGCATAAACTTATGTAACCAAAAGAACAAATTTCAATTAATTTAACTCGTCCCGAGATTTAGTTTGTTAGCTAAAATTTTTTGATTTTTGAAGATTATAATATAAACCTGCAAAAGCCAATTACGAAGGGCAGATCGTCCGTAACCACGAGCATGACGAAGGGTATAAGTATTTGGATAAAAATAAATACCAAGATCAATTGTAAAATGAGCGTTCCTATAAATGAATCGATTACAACATTAGTATTTTAGAAAATCTTTGGAAACCATAAAATACAAGCCCTATTCACTCTTTCAAAAGAAAAAAAAAACTAAACTTATCGTCAGAAGTGTGACAATTGAGGGCTTCACGACTTAGAATGTCTTCATGTTTGCCGTACGGCAAACGTTCACCATCTGAGCTTGTCACAAAAACAACATGCACGTTTGCTGGATTTGTCCACTCAGCTACTGTTTTCCCATTTGTTCCCAACCAGTAAATTATACCTGAAGGAATTGTCAGTAAAAAAAAGAAAAACCTGATCGAGATATAAATCCACAGGAAAAACATGCTGTAAAAGTACAGAACGTCCTTGATGCCCGCATCTAATTACCAACACCACTGCTACCACTATTGCTAACCCAAACAACGGATAATTTAAAATGGAACGGTCTAAGGGAAATCCGCGTAGTTAGCTAAAACAAGATTTCTGTACTTTCAGCCAAACAGCACAGTGCAAGGTAGCACGCCTGTTGCATTTATGATATAGTTAGCATGCATCAAATAAATCACGACCAAAAAAGAGAAACATGAAGCAAAAGTATTGAAAAACCTTTATCATCAAAGTCATTAGTGTAAGTGAATGAAATTTTCGCTCCATGTTTTTTTGCTTCTTTTATTTCCTCCACAAAATGAAACGTTTCACGCCCTCGATCATACCACTGTTTAGCAACCATCCGCAAAATATAACGCTTCAATTGTTTCACTGTATTTAATGGTTCTACTTTCATCGTTCTACCCGATCTAAAAGTTAATGAAGTCGAAATAGTTGAAGTAGTTTACGGAAGCTCTCTGTGCTTACTGCATGTAAGCGGTCTCTTATGGAGTTCTTTCAGTTCAGTAAAATACTAAGAACAAGTTTGTTTAAAGACACCCGGACTTAGTTGAGAACCACGAATTCCTTAAACTTATGTTTTAACTGTATCGCTAATTTAACGCGTATATTCTCCTAACTAGTAGTATTAAAAAATGACCGATCTAACAACTGCATCTGACACGGTGTGTTCGGATTAAACTGTTCCAATTTCAGTTTGATACGGCGATTAAGTAACTGTAAACCAAATGATGAACCACCGGGAGTGTCATACAGGTACTGAGGAAACTTTTGCACAGCTTCTAGAATCGAAACCATTTTACACACAAGTGCGGACAGTGAGCGTTGTTCTACAAAAACCTAAAAAGATGTTTTTAGGTAAAAAAAAAAAAAAAAAGACAAATGAGCGAATGGCAATAGTCGATTGAAAAATGAATAGCAGAGATACACAAAAATGAAAAAGTCGTAAAATAATGTAATGTTTAGGAAAAGAAGATATGACTGAATATGCTGACCCTTCGGAAAATGATTGCTATTTCACCATCTGTGTCCCTCTGTATAACTTTCAGAAACGCCAATAAAGCATCAACAATTCCAGATATCGATAACTCAAAAGTTGACAATAGACGATCGTTAACAACAGAAGAATGCATACATTTCAGAGCTGCCTCTAGTTCCGAAAGCATACGTGCTGACAACTGACCATTTTTTTGATGGCAAATTTCCTTAAACAAACAAAATCAACTGATTCGGTGGAACTAAATAGTCGAAAACCTAAATGACACTTTTTTCCAATAGAACAGTGTTTGAATTTCACGAATAAAAAGCATCTGAGACAATCCACATCAGTGGTCCATAAAACGTTTGATAGCTTCTCCTAATGGCACCGTTGATATTCTGCCCCCCCCCCCCCCCCACTTTTATGGCGCATGTCTGCATGCATTATTTACAGGAACCTTGACTGTAGATGATGCTTTCTGCAATTCAACTAAAGCGTCCCGTGGCTTTGACTGAGCTTCTTTCAAATAGTTGTCCCAAATTTCTTTCGCCATTTCCTGTAGTTTCGCTTTTTGAGTCTCGGCACGGAAACGCAAACGTCGTTCTCCACCTCGTGCAGCCCACCCAGTAACAAAATCCAAACCTGAGAACATATAGAGCATTTGAAACAAAAATGAAATAAACTCAATTACTTTTCGCATTAATTTTGTATTTAAATATTACTTCGAATAAGTGGAAAATTATTTTCTTTGGAAAATCATTCAGAAAATTGTGTTCAAATATTCGAAATAAATGAGAAACATGAGATTTATAGTGGAAATTTATAACAACAAAGAGAATTCACCAGCTCAAAAGATATGTTCAAACGAACCCAAAGTCTTCTCCGCTTGGAAACAGTGTTTTGTCTGGCGATTTGATTCGAAAATAAAACCTGGCAAATCCTCCACAATGATCAAACGTTGCTGATTCCCATCACGATTCGTTACAGTCAATTCACCAATTTTTGGCGAAGCCAAAATCCAACTCCCAACTCCAATCTAAATGTATATAGTACTAGGGTAGCAAAAATACCAAATCTAATTTCAGCTCAAACTTCTGACAAGCCTAACATCTCGAAAACATTTCTCCATCCCACCTTACGAACCAATTCACGATATTTTGATATTTTGTATAAATCGATTCAAATGAAAACAAATACCGTCTTATTAATATCCGGTGCGCTAAATATAGAATGAGGCAAGCTGCCAGGAGGTACAGCATTTCGAGCTTTAGTGAGCTTGTCCAAAAACTCACCACGTGTTTCAGCATTGTCAGAACCAACTTCTGGGCTTCCACTGCTAGAAGTATGTGATCGAGCGAAAGTTGAAATAACAGAGAAAAATAACAATAATGACAAGACAAAAATTTAAGATAAATGGAATACCTATACATAGTACTGAGCTGACCATCCAACATGAAGCGGAACCAGCCATTACTACCATCGCTGAAAAAAATATTGGTACGAATGAATGAAGATAATGGAATGAATTTCCAATTTAGGATAATACCGATTATAAAACACATGAATTCATAATGCTAAGCTGTTTCTATACCAAAAAGAGGGACCTAAATTCCACGGCCACAGCATCGCACCAAATAAAGAAGGAATCCTGACTTTTGATCATCCTCCAATCTTTCCATCGATAACCCTTACCCTGCACAATTTCCCATTGATCATCCACTGCCGACGAAAGATCAATGCCGATATTATATTTGGAAGACACTATAAAAGTAACTGTCTATATTCCACGGGAGAAGCAATGAAAATCACACATCCGCATGGCTTAATGAAATGGTATCCTCCAATGGAGCGGTAAAAAATTTAACAGCGAATGATGGCAAAGTCAAAAAACAATATGTTTCAGTAGCAGCCTCCTGCTGAAATTCCTTTCAACTTCCAAATTTTATCGTTAACAACTGCTAAATATAGAAGCTAATAGAAATGCCAACCCGGTGTGACGGAACCAATCTCAGACGCTTCCAGGGATGGAGTTACAGGATCTGCACTTGCAGATGGAGTTATCTGCGTATTGTGTAAATTATCATCCTGCAAACGGAATCTATGAATTTTAGAAATTTCGAATGAGGCTAGAAAATACTCAACCGAAAACACTAGTGGACAAAGAGGAACAATGAGAGATGAAAGATTGTCTTAATAATGAATTTTTCATAAATATTTAACCTACGTGGACAGGAAAGTTGACCATGGTAAGATCATTTAGTTCCTTATTTGATGATACAACCGTTGAAGACATTGTACTTTCATCGCTGCAACTCTTTGAAGGATTCGATGCCAGATGCTGTCTACTGTTTATGCCAGAACTTTCATCTGAAACTATTTATTTGTGACAATTATTTGTGCAGTCCTACGGCAAGAATGCGTACGGGCTTTTCTACCAGAAATATGAGTTATAGTCAACTGAACCTTGAGATACTTCATCTGCTTTGACAAACATGTTATCCACGACTGTAATAGATAAAGAGCTTGATATGCGACCACTCTCATCAATGACCATCGTTGTCAAAGCATCACTTTTAATTGGTGTTACTGGCTGATTAGCAATAGCTTCAACTTTTTCAAAAATTCCAACGCGCACCAACTGCTCTAACCAAAAGTCGGTATTTTTCACGAATAAAGACTTGACAATCTGTAAAATTCAATTTGCTATATTCTATTTATTCAAGTTGACAGCACACCTATTGCGTACTGTACTGGCAACTGGATGCTCGTTTGTTTCATTTTCATTAAAAGTAAGCATCTTACTAGTTTAGCATAATGCTTTCCTCATTATATTGTACAAGGATTTTCTTTTGATGGCATTGAATAACATGTGTGTAATGTATGTATCTTACTCCATATTTGATTTGCTATTTCTGTTTATGAAAAAAAAAAATTATCCAGCTTAAGAGATATTGTTTTACTACCAGTAAAAAGTGTTTGAATAACTTCTGTGAAAGCTCATACTTGCAATACATTTTCATGCGATTCTGTGTCGTCCTCATGTTCTAAACCCATCATCAGAACGCTGACAAGATTTTCAGCAAGCCGCTGTCCACGAGAAAAACAGATATCAGTCGAAATATTAACACCGTTGTCCTCTTTAACCATCGATTCCATTGATTCAGATGATATATGATGGACAGCTTTACGAAGCAGCGACAAACTGGATCTATGTACACTAGCTCCAAGCGAACGCTGTAAATTATTCGTAAATTTGTGTTTCGGCAATAGCATAAAATGTTATTAATGACACATTAAGAAAATCAAATATATCCTTTAACTGCAATCTTGATTCAAGATGTAGAAAAATCTTGCAGTAGAAATCAAATTTGAGGTTTCACTTATTTCATTGATATCTCAGAACAAATGTTATCAGTGATCTTGACTGCTGCATAGTGGAGAATGATATGCGCTGTAGTATCGAACAGGATTTCATATTTAGGTAAGTGATGCGAGTTTTTGTACATAGAAAGTTTCTTTGAAGATTAACAATTACTGTTGTGGGATACTCTCCAGACTGACTACTAACAGAAAGAAAGATACGCATGTAAACCATCAGTGAAATCGGAGCAATTATTCACAGAATGAACGAAACAACCACCTTACCTGATAAACATCGCATAAAACAGGTAAAAGTTGTTCCAGTAATTGACGCACGATCACGGGATCGATCTTTTCATTTGATGTTTCTCTTGCAACATCACTTTCTGCTTTCACTATTTTTTCTAAACCAGAAATTCGAAGTAATATCTGAACTCCATATTTGTTGATTATTCAGGTATAAAGCTTCACGCCTATACTAATCCCCCCCACATTATTTTTTAATATTCCAAGATAAGATTGCATTCTAAGATTGTGTGCATAGTGATGGTAGTCACATGTGTGGCAACTAATAACAATAAATAAGATAATCAGCTAACAAAACTACCAATAGTGGAAGTTGACCAGTGAGATTAATATTTAATTTTCTCTAAAAAAACATTTTGAATGACTTAACTATATAAGACAATAATTTTATCTCACCTTCGTCAACCCTTTGCATATAAGCGCTTGGACTTTCTAGAATACTAGCTACTAGCTGATGCTCTTCCTCACTTCTTTCGTGTGCTTTATCCAATGCGGTTTTACCCTCCTCATCACGAAGATCAGGATTGGCTCCGTATTTCAGTAAAATTTTCACAATCTTGAAACAAGGATAAAGAATTACGTAAGTTACAAGCACCGAAAAAAACTTCGACTGCATATAAAAATAACTTACATCTGACCTACCAAAACAGGCAGCGTAATGCAACGATGAGGACCGCTGACCCTTATTTACATCGGCGCCCTTATCACACAAATACGTCACCATTTCAACAGTGCCGAAAGCAGAAGACCAATTAAGCAAAGTTTGTCCCACATCATCCGTGAAATTTGGATCAACCTCAAGTAATTTACGAGACATATTTTAGGGCATGAATTTTTAGAAATAATTCAATCATTGACTATCATAAAACATAAATATTGGTATTAGTGTAATGTTTAGTTCTCTCAAATTAATAGGAACTAATTCAGATTAAAAGCTCCTATTTAAACTAGCTAAAAGGACAACTACAGTAAAAGCAATAAGAGGTTGTATCCTTGCTCAAAGTAATTTTTAACAAATCTTATATTAAAAGTAGAAAATAACCTTACTCCTCGTCATCAAACGAACAGTTATTCACTTCCAACATACATTTTTTGTATTATGATATGAAAATTTTAAAGTTTACCTGCCCTGACTCAATGGCATCAATCAAAGCATCTGTGTCACGTTGACGAATTGCATCGATAAGATGCCTATGAGAACGGTCGAAATTAGGACCTGTAAACAAATAAATTTGATCACTTTTTCTTCAGAATTTTAAAAGGAGATTCTCTCCTTTTAGTAAACTACAGAACAAGCAGAACTTGCAATTGACAAACCTGGTTCGTTACGGCTAGTTACAGTAGAACCCATACTTTTAGGTAACGCACTTCGTCCCTCACATAGAAGTACCATAAGAAGATCACAAAAGCGCAAAGCGTCCATAATGCAGCGTTCATCTTTACTCGTCAGAACTGTTTTAAGTGCACAAAAAAGCACTGGAGAACTGGAAAAAGCTATTTGCTGAATACTCACTTTCCTGATTTCTTATCAGTGAAATGCTAATAGTGCATCAAAGATACACTTGATAACTAAATGTGGCTTCAGTTACTCGATCGGTAGCCGCAAAAATTACCTTACGACTTGCTCGGTAACAATCGCTGAGCCACGACAAAGATTACTCAATAATGAAATGACAACGGAGATGAATGACGCTGGCCGATTTAAGCCAAATGCTAGTGATGATGTCACCGAATCAATCGATCCCACTGAATTAGTATTTCTCATATGTGATAACGATGCAGTGCAAGTTACACTAGTCGGATGTATAGGCACCAATGAATTAAGAAGATGTTCAACAAGATTCCCATGTCGTACCATTTCCACCGGATCCATAAATTTACGAATGAAACGATCCGTCAGTGCGGCAAAGCACCGCAAAGCACACTCTGACACCTGAACAAAAAATATTATTTTAATGCTAAGGAAAGTAAAGATTTATTAAATGTTTACAACTTTCGACCGTATTTAACAACAATTATGTAAATACTTATGTAAATATTAGGTGCGGCTACAATTTTACTTAGTCTAATAGCAAGTTGAAATAATGTATGGATTTTCGACAAAGCAAACCTTCGGATCATCATGCTCTAAAAGAGCACCCAAACTGGCACTACATTCTGGCATAGCAGAATCATTCGGTTCCATTTTGCTACATAGTCTCGTAATGACAGACATTGCTGAGTGAATAGTATCCTTTAACACGAATTGATGAAATTACCATTTCATTTATCAGGATCATAAAATTGCTATGACTTCCATTATTTTTGCAACTTTGCTAAGATTCTATAGCAGAAAGAACACAACCATATCAGATACCGCTATCCTGGACTGAATACCTCTGGTTTCGATTGTAATTTTAAAATACTACTAGTTGTTTAAAATATTAGAGATCAGAAAATCTAAATTTTGAGGCAAAATCTTAAATCGCTCACAAATTCATTTTTAATACCAACCATTACTTATACTTAAATATTTATTATTCATACCAAAATGTCGCCATCAAACAAAATTCCTGACATCGTTACCTTGTGAACACACTGTCCATGTTGACGAACTAAAGTCAACATACATTGTAATCCTCCAGCATCATATACTGCAGATGTTTCCCTTTGACAAACATGCTCAAGTAATTTCACACACTGTTCGGCTGAAAAAAAAGACATGTCATACAAGTAACATAATGTAATACCTTCTGAAATTGATTTTCTGAAAAATTCTGAAATAAAAATGATTCTAAAAGATGAAAACAGCGCTACAATTTCTAGCATACAAATAAACTTAAGATTTACTCGCTACTTACATCACATTAATCTCCAACAGAAATGCAGTAATGGTGTAACGTAGTGCGATGTGTTGCCGAGATCTTCGCAAAAGATTTTAATATGTGTTAAAAAACCTTTTGTCACATAAATATGTCTCGAAAGAAGTTAATGTAACTAAAGATTTACTCGCTACCTACATCACATTAATCTTAACTAGTCCTTCATATTCCTTTCATTTCTCTAAACATACGATGAATTAACGCAAAGTGAAATGCATGTTTTAGCACAAAGCCTTAACGACACATTCGATATCTTAGTTTTATACACCTCAACAGAAATGCACTAATGCTGTTACGTAATGCAATGTGTTACCGAGATCCTTGCTCGTACGATCACTCATTTCTGCAACTGCCAATCGATTACAAATTGCTTTGACAGCACCATCCATTTGTGTTATTCGCCTGGTGCATTCATTCGATACATCCAAATAGTATGTTATAGCACGGGCAGTGACCTAAATTTATTTCACTTAGGTTTTAGAAATTCAATGACAAACTTTATTTAGGGCAATCAAGAAATGCTCGTGAACATATATGGCGGCTACAAAATGACTCTCGCTACTTTCCTCTGAACAGTGTATCATCTTTTCCGTTTTCTGGTGAATTATTTGATTCAAATCATTGCATGATTTTACCTCACAGAACTCAAGTACAATTTTTTCAACCGAATTGATTTTGCGTTACCAGTTACTTTTCAACTTGTAAACTAGTGCAGCTGTATAAATTTGGGAAATGTAAATATCTTCATCTTCTGCGGTAAAACTGTTAACTTATGATAAATACCATGTCCCCGCTTATAGCTAAATAATCTTATTTGTTCACAACCATTTTTTTCAAAATACAAATCTATAGATAATATGTTAGAACATACTTCCAAAACATTTTCTGTAGCTGTTTCATCAAGGAATATTTTACACAAGGCGGGAAGGAAAGTTCTTGGTGGACAACTTTCAAAACACTGATCAATATTGTCACTCATCAACAAGAGCATACAAAGCTGTTCCAATGCCATTAACTGAAATCCAATTTTTCTTTAATTACCTTTACTGCTTCAAAGTAACGGAATCTTAGAAAACGATACACGCCATCCACTAATTACCTGAATATCTCGTTCTTCACCGACTCCTGTTTGCAGCCATTCCAGAAGAGTGTCTGGATCGACGCCTTCCATCACACTCGTCCTTATTCCTTGAACAACACACCCTACACCTTAAAAATAAGTTAACTACAGTGGTGATATGAAAGGTATAAAAGTGAGAAAACAAAATCAAACAAACGAACGATGGTGTTAAATGATACTATTCTACTTTAAGTAAATTAGTACTACCAAAAGAAACATAGAGCGTTTCGACAACTGTTTGAATGAGCCAAAAAACTTCGGAGAAAAAATTCAATATGCAAAGGATGATAATACTTGCAAAAATTCATAATTAGTCTGTATTTAACAGTTAGGAACCAAATCATCTTGCACCTGGTCATCATAATATCAATTCAAAGAAATATTTGAGTAAAGGTCTCAAGAAAGCAGACCACGACACTAACTTCCACTCCATACCACATGTTGTTACATGCATTCAAATGAAACCAGCAAGCTTACAGCAGCGAAAGAGGAGTACAGAAATTTTTAAATGGAAATACGATGAAAACAAGTTTCCGCCACAAGACGAAACACACTTGAAAATTCAAAGATAATCGCTCACTGCGAAAACACGAGATGCGGCAATTCATCTTGTTTCATGATATGCGAGAAAATGGTTGTCTTTAATCAGAGCAACCTAGCTTTCCTGCATTACTTCTAATCAACTGCAATTAACGACAATAACTTTCAACTACTTTCAACTCATACACAAAAATTTGCAAGAAACAGAAGTAATACCATTGAAGGAAAGATTATGAATCGAAAGAAGAGGAATGAGAAGTAAAGTTTTTAGGACTCTATTATAGGGACTGATTAATCATCCACGAACTCACATATTTAACTGATTTCGAACAAGAATGATTAGAAGTGATAAAAATAAAGGACGAGATAGGGAACTAAACAGCTTATGGTAAACAGCTGACGGACTGAAGAAGGGAAGAGTATGCCAAATGTTGACTTTTTACCCATTATGTCGGAGGAACTTGGTAACAATGCCACGAGCAAACAACCTTTCATCTGCCCAGTCACTGAGACGATAGAATATAATACAGGACCAGCCCCACTCCCAGTTCATCGTTTATCTCTTAATGAAATAGACAATTGCACATTGCAAACGAACGTCCACAGGCCATTTGCGGTAATTTAAAGTTAACTTGACGAGAGCAGTTAAAACTAATTAAAGCCAGTAGAGACATATGTCTGAAGGTCATTGAGACGGGCACCATGGAAGAGAGAATGATGTGACTATTATTACATGATAGGGTAGGTAACTGAGAACAAATCCTTATCGTACACGCGTGAATCATCATCATCATCATTATGACTAGGCTTCGTGGAGGTTTGGGAAGGGCTCTCTCTACCCACGCTTGCTGCAAACGCTACAAATGGGGGTGTATTATTCCATCCTGCGCAGTGGGTTTTTTAGGTGAAGCACAGCGTGCGCGGAACTGGCTCAACCCTTTACTCCTAAGGTTCATCTGTCAGGGTACACCGAGCAAGGATGGTGACAGCGAAGTCCTCATGACGTAGGTTTTGTTAGACTATCCTTCTCTTAGGTGGATGGCTTACATGGCTAAACGAATTCCGTCTGCCGAGTTTCCAGTTAGAGTTGTTCCCTTCCTACAACGGCTGTCCAAAGACTAACGAACCCATTCTGCCCGTGAACACACTTTGTCTGACCTTTCAGTTGAGGCGTGTTTAGCATGGGCAACCCTACCGGAGGCATAAGTCACCGCCAGCATAGCTCGCAGTCTCATTAGGACACACAAGCTTCTCCTTCGCGACAAGAGGGTGAGAAGGATACGTGGGTACTGCAGTGGAATGGAACGTTCCTGTAAGCGTTGATACAGAGCAGATATGTGCTGTCTGTAAGGCCAAGGATGAATTAACGGGATGGGTCGTCGATTGTCCTGAAGCCGATCACTTCCGGATACTGCACAGTATATTTTATCGGATGACAGAAAGAACTGGAAGTAACGATGCATCTCAAACCGGACCACGTTTACATCTCTCAACTTGCTCATGCATGAATACTCAATGTCAAAAACAGGGGTCTAATTCAATAGCACTTGCTTATCTACAGCGATAAACACAAATATGAATGACGAGGAAGACTTTCATTTTCATATGTCCCAGTCATAGCAACTCACCATAAGTTAAAGTTGCTTTGGTGGTCCTTGCTGTATTTCAGGGTGAGATGCTGGTGCGGTGTGTATGTTAATCGGTGGGTGATGGAGGAACTGGGTCCATTGTGTACAGTGGTGCGTCTTGAGAAAGGGACAAGATGGGGGTGAGGTTTATTCTGAAAATAATGTTGGTATAATAAAGACATTGTTATTTGTTAACTCATTTTCAACAGCTATTCTGCCACAAATGTGCTTTCATGTACTGAACAGTAGAGCAGATCTGTCTCAGAACTACATCCGATTGATTATTGCCATTCCTTAAAAACTGCAACCATTTACAACAAGTCGTTTAAACAATCAACAATAAACACAGCTTGGATTCTTACGGTCTGTACGATTATCAGATTAATCTGACAGTTTTCATTAATCCGCCTTATATCTTTGGTAAATTATATTCTTTGATTTCAAACTTTCGTTGGGCATAATTCCAAATTGCGTTATGAACATGCAGATAACATTGCATTTTCGCCGTTTTTATTCGTATGATTCCTTTCATTTAAAGGAAGTCTTATTGCTTTCTTCCTAGTCACCAATGTAATATCCTCTCTACTTATCATTTCTAACAAAATTCTTGAATATACATAACGCGCCCATCTCCTTTTAGTTGCTTTGTTCGTTTCATTGACTTATTGATTCCATCATTTTCTTTCCGCTTTCATTGTTTGGGTCCGAATCTACGCTGTATTTGTAAATTTTACGAAATTATTTTGCGAGTCCCACTTATTTCTTGCATACGAGTTTCATTTATGTGCATCATATTTTAATTCAGGATTTGATAACCAACTGTTTCGTGATGGAAACGGACGATTCCTTCGATTTTTTATTTAAAATAGTTTTGATCGGTGATATGGGTGTGGGTAAAACTTGTGTCGTACAAAGGTATTTTGTAACACTTTTTTGTAAGAATAGGTTTTATTATTACTAGTGGTTTTTCACTGATTTAGAAACTGTTGTGATTTTCACATTGAATGACAGGCACTAATTTTCTTCTGTCATTATTACCCAGAGATATTTCTGTGTTTTAAAGCATGATGGATTTCTAAATTTCGAGATGAGGAGCTCATATGATACTGGTCGGGAAGGACACTGAAAAACTCGTCATTAACTAGTGTTAGAAAATATCGCAAGGGGGAGAATTCGGCAAGAAGTGGGATCAGTACTAAATCTGAGAATTTGCCGAGACATTTTGCGCTCAGTTGGAATTTTCAAAATTAAGCGGTGTTCTCGATCGACTTTGCATTTTGTAGAACATTTCTTGTCGTACCCAAGACTTTTACTTTATGCTGAAGATTACAGGAATATTGCTGTTAATCAGGGACAGCATCCGGAAGGAATTTCGGTAATGTAGGGATATCTTCTAATAAATTGCTTTTTATCATTAATCAGTTAACATTTAGTGAATTTAATTGAATTTGAATGAAGTTTTGAGTTATTTAAGGTTCAAAAATGGAACTTTCATCGAACGACAGGGAACAACAATTGGTGTTGATTTCTCGATGAAAACATTAATTATCGAAGGCAAACGTGTGAAATTGCAAATCTGGGATACTGGTGGTCAGGAAAGATTCCGCACAATCACCCAAAGCTATTATAGGTTGCTATGACTGTTGAAACTGCATTGTCACCCCCTTATAAAAGATGATATGGTATACTATGATACAGTTTTGTGACAGATCATTTTACATTTCACTGTACTATGAATCACTTTTCAAGGGCAGTTTTTCATGCCCACAGCAGGATGTGGAACACTGAGCAGAGGTTAATATAAAAACTAGTTTAAGCTAGATTATTGAAAAAGCATACTCCGTTTCATACTAATATTCTTAACATAAACTAGGTGTTTACTGTGGGATCATTTGTTACAGATCAGCAAATGGTATTTTATTATGTTATGACCTGACATGTCGTCAGTCTTTTGAGTCACTTCATCGTTGGCTAGATGATGTATCAAAATTTGCTGCACCAAATGTCTGCAAGGTACTTATTGGTAGGTTTGTTGAATCGTTTAATTCTTATGTTGCATATTTCCGGAACGTTTTGATAATGTTTGGTTAAGGACAAATTTGAAGAGTTGAATGAATAGCATAACTGTTCGGTCCGTTGATAACCATAAGAAAGTAACTTATTCATACGGAATTCTTTCATAACATTTTTAGCAACAAAAGCAGACCTTGAAAATGAACGTCTCGTCGAACGAGATGAAGGTAGTGAATTAGCGAATACACATAATATGTGCATGTTCATCGAAACATCATCAAAAAGTAATTTAAATGTGGATAATGCATTTTTGGAACTAGCGTGTCAGTTGAAAAGCCAATACGAAGCAGGTGTGCATCTGGATTCTCAGTTAGATGCTTTCAAGATTTCGCAAGGCACTACAACGATCAGCTCCAAATGGGCTTCATGTTGCCACTATTTATGATTACCCAACTTTCCAAGTTTTTTGATTGTGAAATTTGACTACAACTTACAGTTTTGGAAGTTTGCAGATCTTTTTTTTGTTGCCTTTGTTTTTTACCCATGTTTGCTTTAATTGTTTTCTGGATTTGTGTTCTGCTGTTTTGCGAACATCTGTCTTTCAAGAGTATATCTGCGTAGTGTTTTGTATATGACATGATAATAAAGGGTAAGATTTTCTTTGAACCTCAACTCTAATAAATCGGGATAATTGTGTTCAATTTGAAAAACATTTGCTGAACGGAAATTGCACTAAATCTGTATCGTTTATCTTCCTGTTAAGAATTTTTTACGGATTTCAAGTAGTAAGGGTTCTTTCGATCATTTTTGAATCCTGCTAGATTTATTTCACATGTTGACCAAGTGAATTTTCGAACAGCGTTCCTGATTTTCTTGACGTCAGAATTTTCGATACTTCTGTTAACGTTGGTGTCTTTATATACATTTGTTCTTAAACACTCGTTTTTGTTTCCTTATACTGCGAAATTGATCCGTTTAAGTGTGCTATATTTTGAAACCTATTCCGTCATTTAGAAATAGTGCCCCATGTTTTTGGCATGATTCCCACTGCATTTTAAATCGCACTTCGTAGTTCTGCGTCATTTAAAGTTAGCTGTAGACTGCGCATCTACTTTTTTTCTTCATTGGTGATTGTCTGGCTATTCTAGGCTTATTAGGGTCGATAAAACAATCGTTCTCATTCTATATCCAGACAATCATTGAAGACAAGAAAAAATGATTAACACTGAATATTTATTTGCCAAGTTCTTGGAAATCCAATGAAATATTGACTCATTTGTTTTAACATACGAAATTAGTGTCGGTGTCCCACTCGACGTACTTTTTTTTTCATGCATTTAGATTACTGCATAAATTTATTTTCCTTCCTAGTGCTTTAATTTTATATTTCGCAATTTGTATGCATAGAAAAAAAGATTTGCCATATACGGAATCCAAACTGCGTATTCCTATGTTCATGCTGATGTACTTATCGATCGGTCTTGTTTTTTTTACAAACTATTCACTGGAACGATTTTATCTTTTATCCAACTTTCAGATATATGTAAAGTCTTCCCACGTACATGAATTCATTATTCTTGAAACTGAGCACCTTCAAATTGTAGCACTCTGGTAAGATGAATGAGGAATTCAGGAAGATTACAGTATTTTGTCTGTATTGACTGGACGCGTTTTTGAGTAGCTGAGAAGTGTGAGATTGAGTCAGGTACATGGAATACGATTTTTTTTGGGGAGCAACGCTCTTAATGTAGCCTTTTTGGTGTAGATGGGGTTGCTTTCAACCTAACAGAACATCCACTGTAAATGCAGTGAATCTGTTATGCACGTTTGGAATGAGGGCAGGGATTTGTGATGTCTATGATTTGATCAGCAGCTTTACTGTATATTCCAGTCCGGCTAACGAATTACCTTAGAATACGCTATGACGCGATGTTGGCAGTGTGATGCATCTGCTTCCGTGAAGAGGTCAAAGGATGGTAAACCTGCTTGCGTCGTTTGTTTCACTGATGCCTTCGAAGCGGTAAATTAGATATATAAATTTAGAGAATTGTGTTATCGTTCATCATCTTTAGCTTTAAGCCAAAGCATCCAAAGGTTTCGAAATCCTTCCATACTGTTTGTAGTGTTCTATGGATCACTAGAATACAAAGGAGAATAACGGAACGAAATACATGAATTAAAAGGGAATGAAAATTGGCGTCTCCCCACTGTTTGTTATGGTCTTTGTCGAATTTGTCATGGTTTTTGTGTAGATAAGGGTGGTTGCTAGCTTAATGGCAATAGTCTGATTATATTTTAATTTAGTGGAATATGGCTAAGTTGGTAAAAATATCTGATTGAGGAGGATAGACGCGGCAAGTCTTCATTATATGAACTCTAGACAAAGGTAGTTGAAAGCTGTAATGACATTTAGTCCTCAGTCATATTGTACTTCTTTCATTACCGAGGTATTAACTTGATTTCGCGAAGTTCATATACCGAATATGCAGGGGAATGAAAATAGTAATACTGGATGGAAAAGTACGGAATGTTGTGAATGGAAAACTTATAATTTTTTTCTTAGGGAAGACTGTAAGCTGAAATACACAGTTGATTCGACTAGCAGAATTAAGAGTGCTCAGTACTGGTCAGGTTCTGACAATATTTGGAGGTCAGCAAAATCCTTTTGCTGTGAGACTTTCGTTATGCTTAGGTTCGATAAAATATGTTGTCCAGTATCGCTAATGATGTATAAAATTTTTTGGCATAATGGTGCTTTCGTTCATCGTTCCGAGCTGAAGCTTGGAAAAAGTCATCAGTTGAAACGCGATCTATAAAATTTCTGCAGAACATTCAAGTAACTGTTAGCAGTTAGAAATAGTTTGGAACTGGATAATGTTTAATTAAGAATCGTGAATATTGGCAAATACTTGAAAAGTGGATTAGCGTTAGTCATATTGGCCCTAATGTATTTAGCCATAATCTTAGCTCATTAATTACGGTTTTAGAGGCAGTGTTGGACTTATTTGAAATGATTATTTTTCTCCTGCAGGAAGTGCATGAAGTGATTAAAACTTACGGTTTATTCGGCAAGGGTAAGAAAGTTGCTGTTGGAGCATCAGGTGGTAAAGACTCCACGGTATTAATTCATGTGTTAAATAAACTGAATCAAAAGTATGATTACGGATTGGACATCATCCTGCTTTCAATCGATGAAGGAATCACAGTACTTTTTTCCTGATTGATATTTTCAGAATTTGTGCGTAAGTGGCTTACATTAAAGAGTAGTGTTCCATTCGTATATTTAGGTACTTCCAGCCACAAATTTTTGAGGCTTTTATAACATTAATCCATTGAAGAATAGTTTGTAACATTGACATAGTATGGGCAAAGGCGAAGTAAGTGACCCATTATTATATGTGGCAATTTTGAGAGCTCGCAAAATTAACGGTTTTTCTGGTCTTAAGAGTGAAAACGTGAGCGGAACTTGGTTATAGAAAAAGGCTTTGAATTGAAAGGGTGGAAGGTTCAATTTTTTTTCAAGTAAGATTCAAATGCTTTGTGTTGTTAGGGTTACCGGGATGATTCGCTAAAAGCGGTTGAAAGAAATAGAAATGAATATGGATTACCCTTGATCATAATGAGCTATAAACAACTGTATGGTTGGACAATGGATGAAATAGTGTCGGCAGTTGGCGTTAGAAATAACTGCACTTTCTGTGGTGTTTTTCGGAGACGTGCTTTAGACAGGTGGCGTTATTTCTGAAATGATTTATTCCTTTTTTTTCTGTCCTGTTTCTATGCTTTGATCTTTATATCTCTGACGTTGGTCTCCTCTCTATCAGCATTGAAATTGGGATCATATCTGTTTTTTTCCAGTTTAGTTATACTAAAGTTGAGAAAATCCATTCCTTACAATCTGTATTTTAGGGGCGCAGTTGAATGCGGAGCAAATATTATTGCAACAGGGCATAATGCTGATGATATGGCAGAGACAGTGTTACTTAACGTTTTGCGAGGCGATTTGGCGCGGTTGCAGCGATGTACTGATATTGTAACAGGTCAAGGCAGTAGTTCCTTAATTTATCTTCAATGAATTCCAAAATTGATGTGAACTACACATTTTGTCGTAACTGAATTAGCAAGTACTGGGTATTTCGGAAAGCAATGTACAAAGAGGCGCTTTGTCGCACTTTGATCACTTGAGATAGAGTGAAACAACTGTTAACTCGACCATGCGTGCTAAATGGAGACGAGTTACCGTAAAGTTGAGACCAAAATAGATGTGCAACAGCACAACTTATATCTCAATAGCATTACATTGTTCGTACTGATGTCCCAACCTTTCGGTGATAACTGTTGGTAACATCAACTTCCGGTCTTGTTAAAGAATTCTATATTATGTGTAAATTTTCTGAAAATAGGTAACAGTTATTTTTTTAGAATTGGAAGGTTGTTTGCCTCGAACGAAACCTTTAAAATATGTCTTTGAAAAAGATATTGTGATGTACGCACACTTTAACGGGCTCGACTACTTTTCTACTGAATGCAGATATGCACCTGATTCCTTCCGTAATTACGTGAGGTAAATATTCAATTAAATTTGATTCCACAGGGATACACTGTGGCGAACTGTACTCCCATGGAATCAAAACTAATCATAGAGCTTGATGCAGAGACAATTTTTCTTGCAGAATGTATGTCAAGAAGCTGGAAAGGCTGCAACCGAAAGCAATTTTGGATTTAATAAAATCCGGCGAAGCAATTTCTGCGCGCAGTGATGTTTCTCTCCCCAGACCGACTAAATGTGAACGGTGAGTTTTATCTCAGTGCAAAACTAGCGTTGTTGGCATTCGTGATCAAGGATGAATGAATCAGTTATCGGAACTTTAGATGTGGTTGTATGTCGTCGCAGAAGCTTTGTAAAGCATGTCTTTTGCTGCAGGGTCTGTTTACAAACGATCATAGCTTGGGTGTTAAAAAGGTAAATTCTTTTGTTCAAATATGTCGCAGTTGGGTTCATAGTTTTCTTGTAAAACAAAAACATTTTAAACATTTTAATGAAATATGAGTACTGTTCTGAGAAACAAGGACTATTTGGATGAAAGTTCATTTCATATCACCCAGATTGTCGTGAGATGTTTCTTTTCTAACAATTTCAGATTGCTTAACTTCCTTAACTCCTCTTTCGATAGGAAAGAGGAGTCATTTATATAATATATAACGTTGTATAACTTTATATAATATATAACGTTGCATAAAATTTATGCTACGTTTATCTCGAACTTCGTCACAGAAGTCCGCATAATTCCTTTTATACGTACTGACTGTGTCTCCTAAAGAAAGTATACCTAGTGAAACTTGTAGGTAGGTTCAACACAACTATCAGCACAGTGATATTCGACTTAATATCTGGCATATACTACATATGTATCACCTTCTATTGGAAATTTTTTAAAAAAGTTTCTGTGATTTTGCAGAAGACAATGAAGAAAAGAACATGCACAGAGAAATATCTCGAAGGGGAATGCGCCTGCGAAACAAAGGACAAATGTTGCTTTTGAATTTACTGTTACCAATATAATAGTAATAAGAAATTGAAGCCAAACAAATTTAGGCACAGGTTTCTTAACATTGAAAGTTAGTATACGATGCGCTTATCCCTCTGCTTTAACCGTTGCAAATCCCTTGTTTTGTTGATTGCATTTTGTATGGCAGCCTGCAACAAAAAGGTTCGGTAAAGTTATCCAAATAAACATAACCAGTGAAATAGGTAATTACCCGTCGCATTTTTTCCATTTTCGCTGGAAATATTTCAGCTATTGGTCCTAAATCGAACTGTTCTCTTAAAATCGGATTCATTTTGAGATGCGAATTTATGCTGCCATGTAAAACGCCACATATAAATTCATACAAGAGTTTCTTTCGACAAGATTTTATACTCAGTATTTCATCACCAAATTTTACATCAAACACCGGAGCTTCTTGTTCCTGAAACAAGTCCAACTATTTTACAGAAAGTTATTGTTAACAGTCTGTTAACAGCCTTTTTAATTCATTGTTATTTACCGAATGGTTACCGCAATATTATTGTTTTCTAACATAAGTTTTATAAACATACCCCCGTAAGAAATTCGCCGACACGTACCCACTGGTTAAAACCCAAAGTTCAATACTCAAATATAAACAGTTGACTACTTAAGTTTGATACGCACCATCTAATAAAGAGGAGAGTCTGTCTTCAGAAATCATAGTGAAAACCATGATTTCTAGAAACAGGCTTTCTTTAATGTTATTATCGCAACCTTTAAAACATAACAAGATTAAGATTACCTTTATGGATGCATACATTTGCCTGAACGTGAGCTTCTGTATTTTCCGATCTTTTTTGGCTCGAAATTTCAATGAATCGGTTGTCAAATTCGCAAAGACATCCAGAAGATGCTGCTGGTTGGGAAATCGATATTTATCACCGAATGTCAATACGGCAGCTTCATGCAAAACTGCCAAAGCTTTACCCGCACTTATTCTCATTTCCACCTTTAATGAAAATGATACATATAGCAAATGTAGCTATAGTTGTAATTAGCTCCATTAAAAAATTCTTTGACGAAACGTGAAAATATGATGACATCAGATACTATGAGTTTACCTGTGTGCCATCAAGAAACGTAGACAACTTGGGTTCATCTAGTAATGCAGCTCTCAAAGCTTCTCGTCCCCGCTGAAAACTATACGGTAAAAACATCACCTTTGACGGCGGACAAGCACTGCAAGTTAAACTGCAAACATAATTGCTATCTATTATCGAATCGGTATTAATTTAATCAGCGGATAATCCACATGATCTGAAGAATTCTACCACAAACTTCCGGCAATCCACTTATGGTTCAGTGTACAGTTATTCACTGCGATTCACACATAGCCAAATGAAAACAAATATTTGTGACACCCACCAGTAGATAAACTAATGGGCAGTTCTCTTTATCTTTGAACATCTCATTCTTACTTGATGGATCAGTAGAGACCACCCTGATAAAGCTGCGCAAAACAGCTTTACAGAAGCAGCGCTTGATTTCGCAGTAAACCAAATAGACCGTAGTGTATCAGCAGTTGCAAGGACCGATGTTGGCTGTTCTACGCACAAGAACGTACAAAGAGCCACCGAACGCGCACACTGGCTACGCAACCTAATGTTTCGAGCTGGATCAATGCACAATTGGCATAAAAAACTAACGACCGGTTCTATTTCACTGGCAATCTTTTCTCCTGAAAATTAATGGATTGGTAAATTTACGGAATTCCCCCGATGACTCATCAACCCAACATGCCTGTAAAAACTTATTAATTTAAAAACTGTATTTGCATAAGTCTGATATGCTTGGTTTGGAACGTGATTTCTAGAAAGCTCATAGCTAAAATAAATGTGATAGGAACTTATTTAGAAGTAAATTTCATAAAACTGACCCAACTGGATGGAAATCAGAGCAGATAAAGAAGCAGCAATTTTTGCTTCCTCATCAGTTTTTCGTAACGCTTTATCAATAATATCTATTAAGGTAGAAATCCATTTCTCGAGATCCACAGCTATATATCGTTCAGTTAACAGGGTTTTGATATTACCCATTGCAGCCAAACGGATGGATACGCTAAAATATAAAAAGCTTTATAGTAGTAATAGAAAGAAACGACAAAAAAGACATTAAATTATTCCTATTTAAGCATAAAACGTATTTGAATTTTTTCAAAAGACAACGTCATATTTTACTCAGTGTGTAAAACTCCTTCACTTCATCGGTTTTCCTTACTTTTTGTTGGTAGCCTTATCAAGAAAACCATACAGCTGATCGGAAGGAATTACTGTATCAGTCAGATCCTCCTCAACTGAAATGTTGTACACTGGTATACAAGAGATGAGTTCAGTGAAAAAGTTTGTGCAAAATTCGATCTTATTCAGCAAAACAAATACTTCACGAATACTGTGCAACAGTTCAATTCGGAGATTGAAATCAACATATTTCCTATCGTTCTGAGGTAATAGACTTTGTCAAATTCAAATCTGCTGTTTTCTCATTCTATATGAGTTCCTACAGACTGCTTGAATTCCTTACCGGCGCTACGCGTATCAAAATCCATTGTCAAATGTGTAATACAGGATGCATCATCACTGTCATCACTATCCACTTCTATCACTAAAAGTACAGTGAATATCGTAAAACTGAAATTTAATTTCTATATACCAATTATATTGGTAAACAAATAAATCAGGCTAAAGGAGCGCAAAGTGCGGTGCTTCTTGTACTCATAATCTTAAAATCTTGCTTATCTGGAGAAGTTCTGGAGAATAACCACAGGGTTACTTCCTTTCCTGCACTTCCAGTTTAACTTCCTGTCCTATTACCTCTAACTACCAAAGGCTTCATTCTCTTGAGGGATGGCTTCTCTAATGAAACCATCATTCGTTAATACATGTACATTATGGCGTTTGAAGAAAAAAAAACAAACTCATATGGCAATCCACTTCAAACAGTAGTCAACACAATTAATAGCTCAACTTTTCTGAAAACTAGAACATCTTCGACGCTAACTCTCCTTCCAAATTTCGGACCATCTCATCCTTTATGCACTGCAACGAAACGTGAGATTCATGAAGATTTTCGCTTTCGTTGAGAAGGTAAAAAAAAGAGATACCAGTTTTGTTTGAAACGGAGGAGAAAACAGCAAAATCTTCTTGATTGGCCTTGTTCTTATTACGTCGTTTTCCCATTTAACCAAGTAAAAGATTCATATATTAATCAAACCAGTATACTTGACATTTCGACGACAAATTAAACTGTTTATCAAGCAGGTCTTTGGAAAACTGATGAAATCTGCAACGGAAGTTATCAAATGTATTTAATGTCTCAGTAGTAATATGGATCGCAACACCATTACTTACTTTCATGGTTCAATGGATACACGTTTCATTTGTTCTAATCTTACAAGTGTAACCCCATCTTGATTTATAAATATGGACAATCTGAAGTGAGGTGAGTAAGATGAGACACAAATTGCACGCTTCAATATACAGATCTTTACCTCCACAATAAAATCTACCACGTAAGAGTGCATAACATAAATTATAACACTTCACATCAACCCCAACTTAAAAAGCTTGCACCACACAGGCTGTTATCTATCTGACCATTCCACCACTTAGCGCGGCCCTGGTAACAAGAACAACCGCGTGTTGCTACTGCATTTGGATCACCGATTTAAAAAAAAAAAAGTGGCTGGCTTCTGTGCAGTGTTATGTTTCTGATATTTCTGATGCTTTCCAGCATGAAGTAGTGATAATGGGACAAATATAAGAAAAAATCTGCAAGGAATACAAGTAAGGGAATTTGGAAAATAATTTTAACAACTGAATGATGGAAGTGACCGATGATTCATGAATTTTAAGAAAATACTTTCTTGGAGCCAAACTACTTTCTAATCTTATCCATCTGTTTGTACCCGTCCACTTGACTTCTTCTACTTGATCCTTGTTCAGACTGTCTTGTTCATTCTTCTGCTCAATATTTGGATGCTAAATGAAAAGTTAGTCAGGCTGAATTTGAAAGCCTTTTACACGTGAATTTCTGTTCTTTGGGCATAAAATCTTATCCTCTTATGCAATCCAAGCATAAAACTTTGAAAAGTTTGCGAGAGGAAATTGCGTGAGTCCTGTGAGCAAATTCTTATGTGAACAGCTGGTTTTTAGTTGTTTCTGTCCGAATTAAATCAACCAAAACCACATATGAATAATGTTTGTAGATTTGTAGGTCACAAACTTTTTCAAAGGAGATTTAAATTCTCGTTCGATCTCGATGAACATCTTGCTAGGATGCAAAATAGAATTGTTTTTCCTTACTTAATTAGCATGGTGAAGTTATTTTAAGTTGACTAGTTGAAGTTGTAGTGCTAGTAATGACACGAATTGGACTGCAAAATGCGGCATTGTTCCTTCAAGAAACATCTTCGTCATACGTTCTTTTTCTCACTTTCATTGAACCGATTGTCATAAAAATTTGCTTATTTAAAAAAAAAAAGAAGTAAAGGAAACTGTGGTGACTGTCACCAATCAAATGAAAAAATTAAAAATTTTGCCAGTGACGAGGTAGTACTAAAAGGAGAAAGTGGCTGATAAAACATTACAGATTGTCATGATTCTTCATACCATCGAAGTAGATCTTATCCAGTTTTTCTTTTTTGCAATTTTGCCCATCGTCTTATTGCGATGCAGATGAATTGATACGCTACACAAGCAGGATCGCTTCTGGGCAATATCTGATTTATTTTCTGGATCTTCTACCTCAAAATTTAAAAGGTAACTCCAGTCAGTATTCATAACATAATTGCACTAGTGGCTGAAATACATTCCAGCTGATTGATACATTTTGTTTAACTCCTGGGTTTTTACGACCTTCATGTCCAGTATTATTACCTTATTTTCTCATCTGCTTGCTTGTTCTAGTCTAGCTTTATAGTACCGCTGCCATAGTCAGGCTTAATAAACTAAATTTCAGTGTATTATTCTCCATTACATGGTACTCAATTTGTTTGGATTTCTGATTTCTAACCTAAATTTAGCGGAGCAATTTATATAATAATATAAACTACTCTTAAGAGACCTTAAAAGTGATAAAATTTGTGAAACATTGTTTGCTGATTACATTTAAATCGGAGAATATTTTGTATGATCAAATCATAATGATTCATACAATTCATATCTTCGATAGTAGCATTTTCAGCAGATCTCTTCAATTCTTTAGAACTGTGCAACTGCTGGAAGATAAATGTCAGATTTGCCATAAATGCCATGCTGGTCCAAACAGTGATCATCATAATATTTTGTTATGGAAGTTATTCACTGGAAATAGCATTTCAAATAAAGAATCATCTGATGATTTCCACTTTTTTGTTTATTTGAAATATTTCGATTTATATCGTTTCAATGATACAGCTAATTCTATTCACCTCCCCAACTTACTTTGCAATTCAGCAAGCTGACAGTAACGAATAATAATAAAAAAGCAATTTATGGCTGAGTAATGTGGAAAGTTTGTGAATTGAACAGGCAGTCGGCGACTAACATTCATCATTCTCAGCAATCCTCTGACTGTCGATAAATCCCTTCAGTGTCCCATTTATCCTCATGACACACTATTTACTTTCAACTATCCCTCATCCAACTAGTCTGATGAACGCCACTGATCTGTTAACAGCTAGATGTCGACAACCAAACACTTCCGGTAAAAGTCGGTGACCTTACCTGGGTATACTTCATTGTGACCCATCTATTTCCCCCTCCTCCCGCTCTCCGCCCTCTTCTAGTTAAATATTATCCGATGATCTAAACCAACAATCAACAAGCGCATCTATTCTATGAAGCCGTAGTTTTGTAGGCATTCTCAAAAACGTTTCTTTTACCACTGTTAACCAATTAAGCATTTCTTCAGTTAGCTTCTTAAAGCAGCTAGAACAAGTGATTTCTGCGAGATAGACGAAGACTTTGTAAAGCTTTCGTCATTTGAATCAAAATGAAGTCAGTATCTACTTCATAGTATTATCAGTTACCTGTAATCCCCTAAGAGATAAACTTGAACATTTAATTATTAATAACTTTTCAAAATTGAATTGCATATAATTAGCAATTGAAACTATAAAATGGGCGTAAAAAAGCAAGATTGAAATGTGGGGAAATGAAAAAGGGTCAAATGTAGCACGGTGCTAAAATGATTCGATGTCGTGATAACTGCTGAAGTTCTTTTTTTCTTTTTTTTATGATTTTGTGCTTCAAATCAACAAAAATAACATACTGTGGGGAAATAATAAGGTGTTACGATCATTGTTCAAAATCTTTCTATCTCATTACTTTCTTCCATCTGAACAAAAAGAAGACAATTGATGGGTCAGAGAATGCTTATGGAAATCAAAAATTTGTATGGTTCTTGCACCGATTCATATCATCTCTGTTACATTTTTTAATGGTTTGCAGAGCTTTACTCAATTCTGCTCCAAATAGCAAAACGTCAGATTTTTTCATTAATAATTTGTTTTTCACACATTCTTTTATACTTATAATCTCATCAGAAATAAATAAGCGATTCAAACGATTAACTGCCTTATTACAACTGCCCTTAAAATAAGCGAAACATCAAAATGCCCAACTGATTACGGAAAATGAGTTAAGAAACCAAATGTTCTGCTGGGATAATTAAAAGGGGCAGATTAAAAAAAAAATTGTGGCCTTATTTGTTATCGCTCCTTCTAAGAAAAAACATTTCTTCTCTTTGTATTATAATATCAAAAATTCATGATTTTTAGTAACCAACGTAGCAGGACTGATATATCGCCCTCTACTTGTTGAAAATTTTCTTGAAAAAAGAAATCGAAATTGAAATTGAGCATAGAAGCGTGAAATATTAACAGTTTTTAGGCAACCGACCGTCGAGGACGAATGACACTTTTTTTTTGGATACCTCAAGGTACCTGTGAATGCAAAAAGATGCACACAAACAGATATGTGGATGCACATAAACAGATGTATACAAACAAAAAAATAAGCGATGTCATTTTTTTTTCACATTTATTCATTTCCTATCCAATGTACGGCAAACATCTTTTTTTCCTCATATTATTTAATTTTGCCATTTAGGATGGATCTCGTTTTCGGACAGCTAAACAAGTTTCTTTTCATCTTTCAATTGCCACCTTTGCATAATATTGCTGCTGATAAGTCATGTTGAATCGAAGAATAATTAAATTTTATATTTTTTATACTGAAATTCTCGACTGAAGTAATTAAAATAGCTCGGAAAGGACCATGTTAAGGACGAAAGGAGGAAGAGAGATGGTAGGGAAACTTTCAGAAATGAGTCGAAAGCACTTTAGGATTGTTTCCATTACTGGTAGAAATGATTGTAACGATGGTTTAGATGAAGAAAGAAAGAAGGCGCTAATGTTATTATGGTGGTTGGGAAGTAGAAATGCCTTAAGTAAATGAGTTTTAATTCCCGATGGGTAGCCCGTCCTTTTTGTTCGCCTTTCAACCACTAAGTTGTCCTCATATAATTTACACAATGCACCATTCTCCACCATCTAATTTTTGAAATTTATCTAAATTTTTGTCTCTTCCAATTTTATATCCACAACTCATGTTTTGAAGTTTAGATGTTAAGCTGTTGAAGATTTGATATTCAGTAATTTTTGTTGTAAAATTTAGAACTAGATTCGAGTTGTTCAAAGTAAATGCTGTGATTGCAATGGGTATTCAAGAAACACTATGTTTTATGGTTTAACTAAAGAAAAGATTTCAATAACTGTCATTTATTTCCACAAAAATCCATATATTTGAATGTGCTGGATACAATATCACTAGTAATAGAGAGCAATGATAGAACCATATAAACTCAATGAAACAATCAATACGAACCAGTGGCAGTTGTAGCATTTGTGGATGAATACAATACATAGGAAGATGTCCGCGTTGATGCAGTTGATGGCATGCTGTTGCTAGCATTACTTCGGTTACTGTTTGGATTTGCATTGAGGTTAATGCCATTTGATGGCATATGTTCAGGATCTCGTATCGAACCTACCCAACGATCATCAAGAAATCCATCTAAAAAACGCGATTCTCTCAGTAAATCCTGAGGTTCACATCACAGGAAGCAACGTCATTACATGCCTGATAGAAATGATAAATATAAGGTAGTTCTGTTAAGCATTTGAAAAATTGACCAAAAAAAGTCGTTAGTATTGACAGTTTTGATTGGATAAGTTGCAGATCCCTTATTCCTACTGTTAGTATCATTGAATGATATGATTTAAAATTCCAACAAGTGGAGATAATGGCCAACTTCTGGTCAAAGAGAAAATTTATGATAAGCAAAGGAACTAGTGGATGGTGGATACAAAATGAGTTGAATTTTTGAAAAGAGTACAATTGGAACAAAACTGAATTAGCATATTGATAATAAAGTCGCTCTAATTGGTCAATCAATTTTCCCAATTTTTGAGATCTGAAATTATTATTTCAGTTATCAGTTTTTGCGACAATTCTAGCGCAATTAGTAAAACTTTTTCAAGTAGGAGTGCATGCACGATTGATTCTATTAGCGGCATCAACTACTCTTTGATGATGAATATTTTAGTTTGAGATATTGAGTTTCATGTCATAATTCAGTAAGCAGCATGTTCCAGATGGAAGAAAATGCTTTTTTAATCCATAGAGGTGAGTAAGCAGCCAAAAGAGGGACCAATTCTTATAGATAAAATAAGCCGGCCTGATTAATAACACATTACTTTCATTAAATGGTTCTTATTGCTGATTTCGATTCCTGCTATCGAAATTTTTCATAATTTAAAAAGACCCAATTTTTCCAATCCTCAAATACAAAAGTGGAAATTATCTTCTTCTTGCAAAAGAAAAAGACCTTTTGAAGGAAATTATAGTTTAACTATTATATAAATTTCATTTATTAATGGGATAACTGAAACAGTAGCGACAAACGAAAAAAAGACTAACAAATTCAAGCACTTACCAGCATATGTTTGAGAATTTGTATTCGATGATGGGATTACTGTAGCACCTGTTCCTTCCCAGCCTTTTTCTATAAAAAGTGTTTACAGTAGGAAAACTTGTTTTTTTATAAAAGAATATTCAGTGGACTTTGAAACTAATTATAATTCCGAACCAACAAATTGCGAACTAAAGTAATTAATTAGGACATGCATATGTTAGTCAAGTGTTACTATGCTTTTAAAGCAACAATTAAAAAAGGCCAGGCGTTTGAAAAACATTATACAAGATTAAATTATTAATTAATTTGTAAAGTAGATATCATTTATCTATATTCCCAACATATAATCGGAAACAGCACTTATTCTGTTTCACACTATTCAATTTTCGATTGCTGAAGACACTTTCTAACTTCTATAAATAAAATTTAAGCATCTGCAAAAAATGGAAAGTAAGAGGTCACCTAGAGAAGCATGAAATCGTGAAGCGAACGTATTTTTAGTTGCCGTTTTAAAATTTGTCGCTAACTGCTGCACTAGTTGGGAATTGTCCATGCTACTCTTGAAACAATTTAATTTGTAATCAGATCAGTGATGAAGCAGAAGACGCATATGCTGCGCTGGCTAATGACCACCTAGGGGCGGTGACACTTATTAACAACAATGAAACGAATGGAGAACACTAGGGAAGAAACGGAGGAGGGAAAGTCTTAAACTCAAATTTTCTTTCTATAACAGATTTTCTTTTTGTAAAAAATAGCTGTTTGTTGTTGACTATTTCAAAAATTGAGTTTACAATGTTTCTTGTCTTAATAAAGTGCAACCAAAATTGATCTTAAGAGAATGATCTCATAGGATCAATTGATGCACTAATTAACTGGCAAATAAATGAGCCGAGTTAAAGGACCAGAATTATGTTATTCTCGAAATGAATAGGCTGAATGGGAGATACTAGAAAACAGACTTTGGAAGGCTGTTCGAAACCTAGAAGCTCATTGATAGAATAAGGAGTTGTCGGTGCTAAAAAAGCCGTTTGTTGAAGGGCTCTTTCTGATAAGCGATCCATGGATGATTTATTCCGGACAATCCGATTAATTGAAGATACGCTTGGCACATTTTCGGCATCGCACACCCGTTCCTGAACTTAGTCATCATTGAATTAACAATGCATTTCTAGCGTTAGCACCACCCTTCAAATTATGAGGAAAATCCATACTCAAGTTTATTACGTTTGAACCTCTACTTCTTTTACATCAGGAATCAACAAGAACACTTCCAAAATTTCGAAGCTACCGTATTTTTAATTTTGGATTCCATTTCAATCGAAATTTTTGAAAACAAAGTCGGATTCGTAAGAATTTAAATGAGATAGCAAATTCCAGTATAAAAATGGATTTGAATTTATCTTTTTTTCAATTACGGTATCTAAAAAGTGGTGAGCTTATTTATAAGTTTGATTAATAATCTTAGATTAACGTTTAGTTCCAAAAAGAGCTTTTATTTTTTTATTGTCTTCAAATCATTGAAATGCATAAACTCGATGTCTCAAAAAATTATACTTTAAAACGAGGGATTCTGTCGAAAACGTGAGATATCTAGAGTTAGTATAATTAATTTGAGTTGTAAAAAATAATGGTTTTCCGATGGTAATATTGATAATAACTTTTGATTTTTTATGAGTTTCAATCAAAATCTGAAAATATGTGTTATGATTGCGTTGGGATGAACTGTCATAATTGTGATTTTTTCTTTCCACTGTTATAA